TGGCGGTTGGCGGGCAGTGCGGCTGTCTGTGTGGAGTGTGACGCACCGCGCACAGCCCCCCCCTCGTGCCCGTGTCGGCGGGGGGCGGGGGGCACCGGGGGGAACACTACTGCAGGATTGGCCCGAGGCTACTGTGAGGAGCTCAGAGAAAAACAGCTCCTGAAGACATGAGGAAGGTTCTTCTAACGCGGCTCTTAAGCACTCAGCCTTTGTCCTGAGCCGTGCGTCGGTGAAGTGCGTGCGCTGTACTCTGTCAATATTTATCCACTCACTTCCCGTAGTATACACGCAGAGGCTTATACTCCAGCTCTACTTTGGGCTGAAGGTGTAACGCCGAAGCAAGGTCGGACCTGAGCTTTATATTCATGAACCAAACACACAAACCTCACTGAGAAAAGCTTTGTACTTTCTCAAGACTCAATGTTTATTACCGTCATTTAAGCCGCTACTTTTTTCCTAGTTCTTTCAACCCTGCGGCTTATATAGCGATGCAGCTATTATGTGTATTTTTATGTTTATGGACTCATTGTTTTAGCAGCGACAAGACACTTGTTTATAATCAAAACAGATGAAGATGAATGCAAACGGTGAAACTGTTAAACACTGTCATTAAATCATGTTGTGTCCAGTTAAAACAGTCGTCTCTCTGCTGTATTTAACATGAAAACCTGCGGCTTATATTCAAGTGCAGCTTATATGTGGACAAACTTGATTATCTTTGTACGTAGGTGGTGCAGGTCACCAAGGCTTTTATGGATTTCTGTGAGGACAGGACTCATTTTCCCATAGCTCTTAATCACCGCAGCAGTCGTCTCGCAGGACTTAGAAAAGGTGTCGATTTTCCAACAACAGATCAGCAACAACATAAATGTAACAATAACAAACACATAGGAACCAATGGTATGAAGAGAGCAAGATGACCACGGTGAGAGAGACGAGAGAGACCAGAGGTAAGAGGGCGAGAGAGACGAGAGAGGCAAGAGAGATGAGAGAGGCGAGAGAGATGAGAGAGGAGAGAGAGACGAGAGAGGCGAGAAAGATGAGAGAGGCGAGAGAGACGAGAGAGGCGAGAGAGACGAGAGAGGCGAGAGAGACGAGAGAGGCAAGAGAGATGAGAGAGGCGAGAAAGACGAGAGAGGCAAGAGAGATGAGAGAGGCAAGAGAGATGAGAGAGGCGAGAAAGACGAGAGAGGCAAGAGAGATGAGAGAGGCAAGAGAGACGAGAGAGGCAAGAGAGATGAGAGAGGCAAGATGCGAAAGAGGCGAGAAATGAGAAAAGCGAGAGAGGCGAGCGAGATGAGAGAGGTGAGAGAGATGAGGGGGACTTTAGAGATGAGAGAGACGAGCGAGACGAGAGAGGCGAGAGAGATGAGAGAGGCCAGAGGTAAGAGAGAGACGAGAGAAGCAAGATGCGAAAGAGGCGAGAAATGAGAAAAGCGAGAGAGGCGAGCGAGATGAGAGACGAGAAGGACGAGAGGGATGTGAGAGAGACCAGTGGTAAGAGAGAGGTGAGTTAAAATGTTGCTAAATGTTTAAAAATGTCCTGAATCCTAACTGTCCTTAGACCGTCCTCCATCAGCTCAGAGACCCAGACACACCCTCAGTAAAGCTGCAGAGAGTGGTGCGTGTTCTTCTGGTTCTGACGGCGGAGACTGTGGTGACATGTGACATCACCTCAGGAGCCGAGTGCAGCCGCAGTAATCGTCTCTGATCGTCTGTTGGTTTTCCCGGTGGTTTATTGGCCATGTTAACACGTCCATTAGCAGCTAGCTGAACTGATTAGCCACAGTCTCTCGCCGCTGATGCAGAGCCGCTGTGGTCTGTCTAACGATCTCAGGGGCCCCTCACCCATTAGCGTGTCCCCCGTCATCACCGCGGTCACAGCTCCATGACTTTTAGTCCAAATCTGAATCGTTAGCATAATAAAGCGGGATGAGAGCGGGACTTGGCTTTAGGCAGAAAGCTTTTGGTCCTTTTTTAAAGATGCAGGCAGTGATTTTTTTAAATATTGTGGGAAAACGTCCTTAAACCCTTAAAATATCAAGTTATTTGTTTTCAAGTAGTAATGGAATTGACCAGATGTCTATAGTCTGCAATAATTAAAGAGAAATATTTTGTAGCGGAACGATGAAAATAAACCAATGGGATGTGTTTACCGCCTTCACCCTCTTCCTGTTTCTCAGAGTGCACAGGAGTTATCGGATTTTCTAAAACCTAAAATGGCTGAACAGAAAATTCCAATTTCACGTTTGCTTCACTCTCCCTGTGATTAAGAAAAGAAAATGCTGGATGTTTGGTTTGATGGAGAGGGAGGGGAGGGGGGGAGGGGTTTGGTGGAGAGGGAGGGGAGGGGGGGAGTGGTTTGGTGGAGAGGGAGGGGAGGGGGGAGTGGTTTGGTGGAGAGGGAGGGGAGGGGAGGGGGGAGGGGAGGGGGGAGTGGTTTGGTGGAGAGGGAGGGGAGGGGGGGGTGGTTTGGTGGAGAGGGAGGGGAGGGGGGCGTGGTTTGGTGGAGAGGGAGGGGAGGGGGGAGTGGTTTGGAGTTGGTGCTACGGCTAAGCTAACAACATCACTTACTGCACATTTAAATACATATTGAAATTGTAAATGTATTTCTGTATGTGTATATATTTGCATGTGTGTTTGTATAAAGTGTACGCAGTGGGCAACGCAACAACGCACACAATTATCTCCGTGAATTAAGAAATGTGAATGTTGGTGTCTCTTAAAACACTTTTGAAGCATTTTGGTTCATCATAAGCTTGTCATTCTAACAGTATGAACCTCATTCTTTTCAATTGTCAATTTAAAATGGTTAACTTCTACAAAAAGGTTATGTTTTCATTTGGTTTGTTTGTTTGTCAGTTAGATAGAGGCATAACTTGGCCTCTTCAGTAGAACCAGACAGGGAACCAAATTATTATTATTATTATCCATTGAGATTAACTTTTTCAAGGGAGTCCTGGACGAGAGGCAGCGAAAGCTTCTTGTTTTTGGAAGTGACTCGAACCACCGTCTGAAATCAAGGAATGGTACTGCCCCTCTTGGCGGAGGTTTGCGCTTGACGAGAGCGTTTCTAGTTTGTGCCACTTACAATTTAACCCCTCCTTGAGTCCTGCCAATAACAAAACAACAAATAACAAATGTTGAGGATTGTCGCTGGATAGATACAAGTTTTTGCCACATTTTCCAAACGGATCGAGATCTGTTTTTGCAAATTCTCCAAACATTTCTAAAATCAAACCTCTCTCTTTAGTATTTGCATTGTGGGCATCGGGAACATCTCCAACATCTCTGCATAAGAATCCTGGGCTCCACACACACTTCCTCCGCTCAGCAGTGTCCCTGTGCTCCCCCCACGGTCCCCCCACGGTCCCCCACAGAAGCTTTTGGTCCCTTTGTCCCGCGGGGGTCTTTGTGATGGACATTTCCAGGACTCCTTTGCAGCATTCCAGGGATGTTGGTCCCTCAGCTGCAGCTCTGCTCTGGGGGAGCGCGCTATCAAAGGGCCCTACAGAAGATCACACGGGGGGCCATAGTGCAACACACGGGGGCCACGGAACATCACAGGGGCCTTGAAGTGCACAACACAGGGGCCAGAGAACAAGAGATACAGGGACCCAGGGCAGCACACGGGGCCAGAGAACAAGAGATACAGAGACCCAGGGCAGCACACGGGACCATAGAACAAGAGATACAGGGGCCGAGGGCAGCACACGGGGCCAGAGAACAGCAGATACAGGGGCCGAGGGCAGCACACGGGGCCAGAGAACAGCAGATACAGGGGCCGAGGGCAGCACACGGGGCCAGAGAACAGCAGATACAGGGGCCGAGGGCAGCACACGGGACCAGAGAACAAGAGATACAGGGGCCGAGGGCAGCACACGGGGCCAGAGAAGGGACCGAGGGCAACACACGGGGCCAGAGAAGCGACCGAGGGCAGCACACGGGGCCAGAGAAGGGACTGAGGGCAGCACACGGGGCCAGAGAAGGGACCGAGGGCAGCACACGGGGCCAGAGAAGCGACCGAGGGCAGCACACGGGGCCAGAGAACAAGAGATACAGAGACCCAGGGCAGCACACGGGACCATAGAACAAGAGATACAGGGGCCGAGGGCAGCACACGGGGCCAGAGAACAGCAGATACAGGGGCCGAGGGCAGCACACGGGGCCAGAGAACAGCAGATACAGGGGCCGAGGGCAGCACACGGGGCCAGAGAACAGCAGATACAGGGGCCGAGGGCAGCACACGGGACCAGAGAACAAGAGATACAGGGGCCGAGGGCAGCACACGGGGCCAGAGAAGGGACCGAGGGCAACACACGGGGCCAGAGAAGCGACCGAGGGCAGCACACGGGGCCAGAGAAGGGACTGAGGGCAGCACACGGGGCCAGAGAAGGGACCGAGGGCAGCACACGGGGCCAGAGAAGCGACCGAGGGCAGCACACGGGGCCAGAGAAGCGACCGAGGGCAGCACACGGGGCCAGAGAAGGGACCGAGGGCAGCACACGGGGCCAGAGAAGGGACCGAGGGCAGCACACGGGGCCAGAGAAGGGATTGAGGGCAGCACACGGGGCCAGAGAAGCGACCGAGGGCAGCACACGGGGCCAGAGAAGCGACCGAGGGCAGCACACGGGGCCAGAGAAGCGACCGAGGGCAGCACACGGGGCCAGAGAAGGGACCGAGGGCAGCACACGGGGCCAGAGAACAGTGGGACCACAACAGGCTGGACTCACAGAAACACACTGTGGTCATTGGACAAGAGCAAGACACTACGCAGACTCTGATTGTGTATCCATGTTATGACTATGATATGCTCTGAGTGTCTCTGTGTGACACGTATGTCTTTCGATGTGTGACGTGACAATGACTATATAAACTGTGTACTGCAGGGGTGTCCAAACATTTTAGTAAGAGGGCCACATTAGTTCACCAGACTAGTCCAGGGGCCGATGTCACGGACTGAAAAACTGTCTTGACTGACATCCGGCTGTTCTGAGCTTTAAAATGATCCATAACAGAGCTGGAGTTGAAGGAATGACACATGTTTACCATCTCACAAGTCCACAACTGAAGATGTACTAGGCTTTAGACGGAGCTACAACATGTTTATATTGGCTGAGCTGAAGTTGGATGGATCACACTGAGGGCCGCAATTGGTCCCCGGGCCTGAGTTTGGACATGCCTGGTGCCTTTATTCTGTCTGAGAGAGAAAGAAACAACAGAAACCACTGGAACTTGAGAGAAACCTAATAAACTTCCAGGGCTTTGGCGCACCACGATCCGTCTCTGTCTGGTTCATTCCTGACCAGAGACTAGTGCTGGAAAATATCTATTAAATGACACAGTGAAGCAAAGTTCTGCGACATTTAATTCAACAATAATCAATGTTGTGTTTTCTCTGAGCTTACTCCTTTACATCTTCACACGTTCCTAAATGATGTCTGTTGTGACTCTATAATCTTGTCTGTTATAAGGTCCTGCGTCCTGAAAGTTCACGCATCATGTTTTTGCTCTTCCCGTTAATGTACAGACCATAATAAATGTGACGTTAGAGTTGAGCCTTATTTTCCTCCATGTTTGTAAAGTCTTTGAATAATATGAAGGACAAGAATCGCGATAAATCACAGAATCGAATCGTAAAACTTGCTCGGCAGATAGACTTTAGACAGACTTTATTGATCCACAAGTGAAATTGCATTGGCACAGTAGCTTGCCTAGTCTTCCACAATAAAATAACAACAAAGTAACAATATGAAAATAATAATAATAATAAAATAATATTGTGAGAATAGAATAATCTGGGTGTAGGTGCTCAGGATTATGTGAATATGTACACAGATAGTTTATTGATCCTGATGGAAATTGTGCATTAGTCCCTGGCTCACATTCGCACAATCACAGCAGATTAATTAAGACGTGAAAAAAACAAGACAATTCGATAATAGCAATAAATAAATGCATGTCCAGGAGAAGTTAAAGCCCCTCTCTCCTCCCCTTTTAAAAGACAAAAACAGCATCTTTCTCATATGCAGCTACAGCAACAGTGGCTCTATTCTCCATCACAGTCAAATCCTGATCCTGAACTGCCTCTGGTCTTGTTACGCAACACATGACACCAAAGTACCTACAGTTGCACATGAAAATAGGCCTTCTGCTGCCTGGGAGTGGGGAGGCCATTGTTTCTCTGTCTTCATCCCGGCGGGGGGCACTACACCCCCCCCATCCACCCACATTCTACACCGGGTCAAAAGGCCAGAGGGCGGCTTGGTAAACGGGAGATATCCAAGGCTCTGTTCCGAAGCTGAATGATTGCATACTGTACTTTCTGGATTATTACCGGACCGGTTTATGAGCCGCATCGTGTACGTTTGAAAAGAAAATCAAGTTTGTCCACATATAAGCCGCACCTGGATATAAGCTGCGGGTTTTCATGTTGTGTTGTAGCAGAGAGACAACTGTTTTAACTGGACACGACATGATTTAACAACCGTTAGCTTCCGTTAGCTTCCATGACGACACTCATTCACAAGTGTCCGATAGCGACTAAAACTCGATATAAGTCAGAATAATAAGTCCATAGACTCAGACTGAACCACAATTGAAACACACACATTAGCCACATCGCTACATAAGCCGCAGGGGTCAAATAACTAGAGAAAAGTAGCGGCTTATAGTCTGGAAAAATCACAGTAAATATAGTAGTTTAATATAATATGGATCTTTTATGAGACTTTTGATGCAATTGTTCAAACTCAGCTTGTCATTACAACAGTCTGCAGAAGTCAGAGATGTTTCCACCAGATGTCCACACTGTAAAACTCTGGTTGCTAATTTAGTTATTATCTTGTCCTTATCCGCACTTGTTTTGTCCTTAAATCGTCATATAACTTTCATATTTACCACAAAAGAATGTCCCTTTATGTGGAATTACATGTGTTAAGGCCACATATTGATCTGACACTGTGTTTTATATGGATATTGATATTAATCTTATTCTTTTTAGTTTGGGCTGGGACTTTTACCGAGGGACAGTATGTTGTTATTGTGACCAAATATACGCCTCAAAGTCTGTCTCTTATGTGTTTCTCTGCATCACATCTAAATATCAAAACACAGAGCTGACCCTAACCCTAACCCCGCTGCAGATTACGTCTAATAATGTGTGTTTAATTTAATATATTACAATTGAAAATGATTGTAGGAAGAGCGGCCGCCCCAGCGCCCGTGTCCGTGGGAGCATCCTCCTATTGTTGCTGCTCACTGAAGCCTGACGGGCACCGGGGAAAGACACTTTAAAGTCTATTCTATTTTTACAGCAGCCGCGGGGCACCAAAACAAAAAAACAAGACATAAAAGTGCAATAGGCTCCAATTAGCACGTCGGAAACTCCAGCCGCTCTGAGCTAGCACCACGGCCTGATTTATAGTATAGAGGTATTACATGGAATAATAACATACCCATATCTCAAATCATCTATAGCTAGCTTTAATCTTAGCTAGAGACCCACATCATAGACTGTAAACAGATGGACAATGCTAACTCGCTAGCTCAATCAAGCCCAGCAGAGAAGTTTTGCTCCGACTCCGCTCATATTTAATGACTTTGCGCTCTCTGTGATCCTCGGCTTTCATATCCATATAGAATAATTGACCAATCAGATGCCGTCATTCGCAGGGGGAACTCCAGCTTTCCTTAGCAACCATCTTAGCAACACGTCCGCCTGTCACAGCACAAAGCTAACGCCGGCTGAATAAATGCTGTATGAGAAAAATGGCTCCAGCTTGCTTATTTACAAATACTCTATATACTATTCTATGCTATATACTTCATATATAATGAGGGGAGAAATATTGACTTAAACTGTCACTTTGTCCTGCTGCTAACATGTACAGATTTATACAAACAACTATTTATTTATTGCACCAGAATATACATTTTTTTTGACTGGCTCCCTTATTATGCTAAAGTTAGAGATTTTATACTTACTTCTTGCTTCCGTATTAGCTACAGATTTTTTTATTTTAGTATATTATTCATTTATCTTGTGCCTCATTCCTACTGTTTCCCTAAATCTTTATCTCAAATGTTTTAGTATCTTCCCTAAATCAAAACCAGGCAGAACCATTATCACTGAGCAGATCCTAATAATTTATGACCTGAATAGAGTAAATAGAGAAACTGAAAAAGTGAGAGAAGTTGTAAAGCTAATCTCCACCTCCGCTTAATGGAGCTCATTAAGATAAATGGGGGTCTTTGTGGGAGGGCCCCTGGTTATCACCGTGCCCTGCAAACTGTTGATGTGAATGTGTGTGTGATGAGATTAGATGGGCCCCCCGCGGTCCGCAGAGGTCAGCCCGGAGTCAGGCCTTTGATATGGAGAAGTCTTCCTTACCCAGGTCACTAGTGTTGTCCCCGCTCTGAGATACGTGGCCCCCGCTGGAGGGCCCCGGGGTCCCCACCGAGGGAGTGGAGTGGGCGTCGTCCAGGTCTCTCCAGGAGGCGGGGTTCTGAGGGGCCACAAGAAAAAAGCAACTCGTCAGAAAAGCAGTAGCAGATAGAAAGAGGAAGAGAAATGTCAAATGTCATCATGACTTTATAATTCAATGTATTTTTGAATCGCCCAAAATCACAAATGTAGATATCTCAGAGGACTTAACAAAATTGTTGAATTCTCCAACACAAATTAGAGAATCAATGTCCATAAATGTTGATAAATGTCCACAATGACAACATCAGAAACAGACACAACGAAGAAGAGAAATGTCAAAGTCAAAACCAAGACTTTAAACACATTTCCCAGACCCGTCATTTTGACTGCTCCCAAACCAATGGAATGTACCCCCCCCCCAAAAAAAATCACCATTTTCACCAGAAAGACATTAACGAAGTTGTTTTACCTTTACCCACTTGTGCTAAGACTGCTGAACATCCCTTTAATACAGCAAAAACCAATTGTTGAACGGCTAAATGCTAAATGCTAACAGTGTTAGCCCTAACCCATGACAGACTTGAGGCGGGTTCAGAAGCACACATGCACTTGGGGTCTTTAGTTCCTTCAGAGTTTTTTCAGACAGAATCAAAACCGGGAAAGTATGATACAGTGAAGACACCAACTTTACTGTGGTTTCACAACACAATACAATTTATTCTTGTATCTCCCTAAATCACAGCAGCATCATCTCAGAGACTTAACAAAACCATTGAAATCACCAACACAGATCAGAGAATCAACAGTTAACACACAGAAAATACAGTATGGGTCCATGAGGAGAGACCAATGTCCATGAATGTTGATGGTCCATACTGTACATGTTGTAGAATGTTAGAAAGAAAGTGTCCTGGATCATCACAGTCCTTTTTGTTTGACACTAGTTGCTCAACAGACTCCTGCATCAGAGGAAAAACTCACACAAACCCGGTGGGATGAAGTGAGAAACCTCGGGGAGACCCACATTGAGTTCAAACACCAGAGAGAAGTGAAGTCTCCATGACCGGATCACTTCATGTTACGTCTGCGTTTGTCCATTTTGTGAAGGTCATTGTTTACAACAGTAAAGAGTGTGTTGCTATGGTGACTAGCACTTGCTTTTCTCTGGCGGAAAACCAAGCTGACTCAGAACAGGGCCAGTCCAGAACCAGGAACGGAGGCAAAACAAAGTCCCTCCAACGTGTCATGGTATTCCGCTGGTCTTCCCCTAGAGTGACATGCCCAGAACATTCCCAGGGAGAGGTCCAGGACGCATCTCAAACAGACGCCCAAGCCACCTTAGTTTGCTAATGTGAGCTTAGTTTGCTCACATTAGCAAACTAAGCAATCACTTATGACCATTTCCAGGAGATTTTAACCATAACAAAAAACAAACAAACTACCGTAGCGACAATAACCATATTCTACTATGAACTCTGATGTTTCAAGGCTAAATTAGTCTAGAGCCGGATTACACCAGCAAACCTATTCAATTCCATTCAATTTTGCAAAGCCCTAAGATACAACAGAAGCCGTTTCCGGAGACGTTGCAAAGTTGTTGGGCCACAAATCAACAGATCAAAGAATCAGAGAATAAAAACACAAAACCCATTGGTCCATAGGGAGCGGGCCGACCACTGTCTATAAATGTCACTAAATCCCAAAATGTCCCGGATCACCATTTTCTGTAGACCCTCCTGCATCTGCAAGGAGAACCCAATGGGGAGGCCCATATTGAGGGAGAGAACTTCTCCCACGGACAGGCTGTAGATCCAGGACTCAGACTGGATCACTTTTTTCCGAACATAGAATCAATAGCAATCAATCAAACAATCAAGACCTGAGCTGAAACACTTTGCAGACAGAGCCAAAAATCCTTCACATAACAAGAAAAATAACACACATGTATCCATTGCTGCAAAGAAAAGTGGATCAATACAATCGCTCTAAATCACAACAGTAGTTTCAGGACTTTACAAAACCGATCAGAGAATCAAACCGTTCCAACACAAGAAGTAAAGCAGAAAAGTCATTGGTATCGGTCCATAAGATTTGATAAAAGTCTATTAATGTTGATGAATGTTGACAGTCCTTTCTACATCTACTACATGATGAGGTCTTTCTACACCTACATTATGAGGTCTTTCTACACCTACATTATGAGGTCTTTCTACACCTACATAATGAGGTCTTTCTACACCTACATTATGAGGTATTTCTACACCTACATAATGAGGTCTTTCTAACCCAAGTCTCCACATCCAAATCCGCTCCCTTCCTTCACACATTACCATGATGTTGGGGCCTCGGTCTTCAAGCTGAGATCCACAGAGCTGCTGCTGCTGCTGTCACACTGTGGTTCAGGTCTGTGTCTGTGTGTGTGTCTCGTTGGGAGCCTTGTACTTATACTGCGTGGCCCCCCGGAGCCTCGCCATGGGCCCCGAGTGCACAGCCGCAGCCTCTTGAGTCTCTCGTTGTCAGCTGTTCACCGGATGGCCCTCGGTGAAGAGCTCAGCAGATGACAACAAGCCGCATGCACAAAGACTCGGGTCTGAATGGGCTCTTCTTAAGTCACCGCGCTCTCCTTATCCACACACACACACACACACAAAGGGACCCTGTGTGTGTGTGTTTTTCCATGTTTATCCAGTTAATGAAGAACCATCTGTTGACGCACAATTACCAAAACACGCAATCCGCACACTGTAAACTCGGCTCACGACAAAACAACTTCTTCGGGGTGACGTCTGAAGAGCCGAGGGGTCTCTCTCACTCCGGCGCCCGAGCATGAGGAGTTGAATTGTGTTTTTTCTCAAGCACGAGAGATTATTTACAGCTGGGGAATCTAACCGTGTTGTTTCATACATTGTTGTGTGTCCCAACGGAAAGAGCAAAACATTGTCTGCATCTTATTAGAAAACATGTTAGAATTCGGTAGCAAGAAAGATCCTTGTTAGTGTCTCTTTGGATCTCTCATTTGGGTTCAACCTAAGCTTGTCTATGTCAGAATAATCAGAGGTATTAAACCGTGTCTCAGCATGCTATGTACAGCTCAAAATATTTGTAATCAAGTACGACATATCAGCCTGAGTCCACAGCAACTTTTTAGTAAGAGAGCCACTTTAGTTCACCAGACTAGTCCAGGGGCCGACATCACGGACTGAAAAACTGTCTTGACTGACATCTGAGATTTAAGATGCTCTATAACGGGGCTGAAGTTGGCTGAATGACACATGTTTACCATCTCACCAGCTACAGCAGCACCATTAACGGAAGTGACTCAATCAAAAACCACGTCCGAACCGTTTGTATAAATAAAGTCAACAACGTACGGGGCTTTAGAACAAGGTCTATAATGGCTGAGCTTGACAGTGTTAGCATGACAGAGGGCCACAGAACTGATTTTCCTCGAAGACGGCTGCTGTTGTGATTTACAGCGACACACATTGAATTGAGTTGAATAAATAAGTTTTGATAATCGTTTAAGTGTGATTAATTTACCAACTTGTTACAGCCCTATAAATAACATGTCTTGTCTTGTCGTAGATTCTGCCCGGGTCCTTGTCAGCTGCTCATAAGCTCCTGTCCCTGGATTGGGATTAAGCACAAACAAGCTTAGTGGCCTTGTCCGCATTTCTTTGTGAAACGCCAAAAATAGGAAGTGTGTGTGTGTGAAGCGCCCAGCAGGAGGCGGGCAAACAAAGAGCCCGGAGCACAAACAGCTGCAGCAGATCGCTCGGAATCAACACCATCAATGCATCCAGCGAGGCCTCTCTCATTTTACAACCTCCTCCTTCACTGTTTTATGATCCACAGGTCGACTTCATCCGGAGTTCATTAAAGAAGACGTATTGTGCTGTTGCCGCCTATAATAATTAATGCTATATAATGCAGCGCTGTTTTGGACACTCCCAGACACATGTCAATATTCTTTCACTCCATACACAGTGGTGGCACTCTCCTATTGTAGCCACAGCTGCCCTGGGGCACACTGGCAGAAGAGAGGCAACCAGTCTGTGCCATCAGCCCTTCTGACCACCATCAACCATTCACACACACACCAGACTCATTTCAATGTGGGGGAAGTGTCTTGCCTAAGGACGCAATCACAGTTTGCCACTTTACAGCCGCACCTGCTGTTCCCAGAGGTCTCCCATCACAGTACTAACCAGGCCCTGCCCTGCTTAGCTTCTGACAAGTCTGACAGGATCTGGCTTTCACCTGCAGGTATGGCCACAGAGAAATCTGAACAACACACTAAAACTCATATTTCAACATCAACCCAACTTCTTGAGCAACAATTTGGCGCCACAGACTTTGTAGCAGCAGTGGACTGAGTGTGACATCACCTGAGCATTAGCCTTTTTGCAGAAGAACCCAATTTGAAACTAAGCTAGCTGGAGCCAATTTCCTTATAAGCCTTGGTTCTCACTGTGTTAGCTTTTGCGCCATAAACGTGTGGCTAAAATGGTTAGCTGGAGTTTTCCACAGGATTGAAGGCCTCTGATTGGTCAGTCCTTTTGGCTGATTTATGGATTTATAAAGACAATATTAACGGCTTATTAACCGAGCGCGAGGTCTGTATGGGGAAATATCAGACCGCGGCCTTAATGTACAGACCGCGGCCTTAATGTACAGACCGCGGCCTTAATGTACAGACCGAGCCTTAATGTACAGACCGAGCCGTGGCGAGGTCTGTACACCAGACGACACACACCAGAGCTCTTGCCACGGCGCCATCTTTACGGCGCCATGCTTAGCTAGCGGGTTAGCGGGTCATAGATGCTAGCGGGTTAGAATCTATATAGTCTTTGGATACATACCATAATATACAATATATACAGTATTATCAACAGCACAGGGAATGTATACATGTGATGAATGGTCTCTCTCTCTCTCGGGTCTCTCTCTTTCTCTCTTTGGTGTCTCTTCGCTGCTCTCTCTGTTCTCCTCTGGTCTCTCTCTGGTCTCCCTCTCTTTCTGGTCTCTGTCTCTGGTCTCCTCTAGTCTCTCACTCTCTCTCTGCTCTCTCTCTCTGGTCTCCTCTAGTCTCTCTCTCTGCTCTCTTTCTCTCCTTCTGGTCTCTCTCTCTCTATGGTCTCCTCTGGTCTCTCTCTGGTCTCCTCTAGTCTCTCTCTCTCTCTCTCTGCTCTCTCTCTCTCTCTGGTCTCCTAGTCTCTCTCTCTCTCTCTCTCTCCCTCTGCTCTCTCTCTCTGGTCTCCTCTAGTCTCTCTCTGCTCTCTTTCTCTCCTTCTGGTCTCTCTCTCTCTCTCTATGGTCTCCTCTGGTCTCTCTCTGGTCTCCCTCTCTTTCTGGTCTCTGTCTCTGGTCTCCTATAGCCTCTCTCTCTCTCTCTCTCTCTCTCTGCTCTCTTTCTCTGGTCTCCTCTTGTCTCTTTGTCTCTGCTCTCTCTCTCTGGTCTCTCTCTGGTCTCCCTCTCTTTCTGGTCTCCTCTAGTCTCGCTCTCTTTCCCTCCTTCTGGTCTCTCTCTCTCACTCTCTGGTCTCCTCTAGTCTCTCTGCTCTCTGCTCTATCTCTCTGGTCTCCTCTTGTCTCTTTGTCTCTGGTCTCTCTCTCTGGTCTCTCTTTCTGGTCCCTGTGTCTAGCCTCCTGGTGAACCACAGTCTGTATGAGTCGTTGTGGGGGCGCAGGACTCACGTGGTCGGCCAGGTTTGTGGAGGACCCCGACAACTCATCGAAGTCCGCCTTGCACATGTCGCGGTCCTCGATGACCAGGTCGATCGGCATCTTCCCTTTCAGACAACTGATGTAGCGGTGGCAGAAGTTATCACACAACTCGTGCACCTGAGAACCACACAGTTAGTAAGTAATGTTATCTATATGGCGCATTTTACAGACCAAGGTAAGTAATCTTTATTTATATACCGCCTTTCACAGATCAGAGTCACAAAGCGGTTTACAATTGTTATTTTAGGGCATTTGTCTCTCACTCCACACAGAGATGGGAGGGGCCAGTACAGGAGGCGCATGCCAGAACTATTGTGCATGTTTTTAGTGGTAGGGGAAACCGGAGTACCCGGAGGAAACCTACGCAGACACGGGGAGAACATGCAAACTCCACCCGGAAAGGCCCTGTTCTGACCGGGATTCGAACCCAGGACCTTTTTGCTGAGAGTGCTATCCACTCTGCCACCCAAAAGCGCTTTGCAATGTTCAGAGACACACACACACTCAGGACTTCCATCTGTGTGTGCGTGTGTGTGTGTGTGTGTGTGTGTGTGTGTGCGTGCGTGCGTGCGTGCACTTGTTTTCAACTCCTGGTGGGTTCCATAACCTGAGATTCCGCTCACGTCATGGGGACTGGTTTTACGTGGTGGGGCCCGAACACCGGACCCCACTGGTCCAAGCTTAATAATCAATGGGTAATGCTTTTCTAACAGTCCTTATGCAGTCTCTGTAAAAATATGGAAAGGACCCCTGGAGGTTTACTTTCCTGAAAAAAGTGTGTTATGTGTCGGAACCCTGGTGGTGGGTTGCGGGATATCAAGGAGGGGCACACTGGGGCAATTTCAGTCCAGCAGGCTGGAGCCAATCATGGAGCAGCACAACAGAGGCTGGAGCCAATCATGGAGCAGCACAACAGAGGCTGGAGCCAATCATGGAGCAGCACAACAGAGGCTGGAGCCAATCATGGAGCAGCACAACAGAGGAAATCAGGTGTCAGGCTAGAAAAGGTGCAAGTGTGTGGTTCATTAGGCTGCAGCCAATCACAGAGCAGCACACTGAAGCGCACGCTTACAAACCACTGGTAAGTGCTGACTACAAGTCATGACTTCAAATTGTTATATAGAATGATTACAAATTATTTGTTGTTTGTGCAGCTTAGTCAAGAGTCCCTAATTGATGAAGTCGACTCAGATTCTGACGATTTAACTGTCAAGAAGAAACCTGTAAAAAAGTATGGAAAAAGAAAAATCAAAAACACTTTTCTTCAAGACTCGGAAAGTGACGAACCAAAGGCAAATAAGATTGTTATCATGCAGCTGCAAAAGAAGAAAAATGGGGGGCGAGTTTATAGCAAGAGACACTTCTGCCTCTACTGTTCAATGTCCTGCCACAAAATGTCCCGTCATTTGACTAGAAAACATGGAAATGAAAGTGACGTAGCCAGAGCATTGGCTCTACCTGTGAAATCTAAAGCACGTAAACTTCAGTTTGATTTGATCAGGAATAGTGGAAACCGTGAGCACAATTTTGAGGTTTTAAAGGCCGGCATTGGAACTTTAGTCCCAGCTAAACAGCCAAATTGCCCAGTTAAATCCAGTGAGTTTTTGCACTGTATAGACTGTGGGGCATTGCTTAAGCGAAAGTCGCTGTGGAGGCATGTGGCCAGGTGCCGGCTTTCACAGAAAGATGCCCAGGCTAAACCAGGTAGAAGTAGGGTCCAGTCCCTCTGCTCCCTAGCCCAGCCTGTACCGGAGGGCATCAGCAAAAAGCTGTGGTCTTTAATTTCGGCAATGCATCAGGATGAGGTCACGGGTGTTGTCAAAGCAGAAAAGGGGATTCTGAGACTCGGAGAGCACCTGTACTTAAAACACGGGCATGATAAGACTAAGCATGATTACATTAGGCAGAAAATGAGAGAAGTCGGTAGGTTAATTAACGAAGCAAAAACTGCAGGGAAACTGAAAACAATTAAGGATTTCTTTATTCCTTCCAACTTTAACCATGTGATTGATGCAGTCAGGTCTGTGGCTGGATATGATGAGGAAACAAATCAATACAAGACTCCATCCTTGGCCCTCAAACTCGGCCATAGCCTCAGAAAGCTAGCAGATATTCTTGAATGTGACTCAAAAATGGAGCATTGTGTTGATGAACTATTTATTAAAAACCTCCAACGAAGCCGGCTGCTTTTTGAGAAGAGGTGGGACGTCTGTGTTTCTTCTGCTGCCCTACAGACCCTCCGGCAAGCCAAGTGGAACACTCCGGACCTGCTCCCTCTGACTGAGGACGTTAGAGCCATGCATGCACATATTGAGGTATGTCGACCTGAATATGTGCAAACCCTAATAAGTGAGCCAACGTCTAAGCATTGGTCTAAACTGGCAGTTTTGACTCTTTGTGAGGTCATCATTTTCAATCGAAGAAGGGAAGGTGAGGTTTCAAAGATGCCACTGACAGCCTTTACCTTAAGAAGTAAGACTGGGATCCATTCTGACATTGCTCTGGGACTGTCCCAACTTGAGAAAAAGCTGTGTCAGCATTTTCAACGCATTGAAATTAAAGGGAAAAGAAGTCGGAAAGTGCCGGTTCTTTTGACTCCTGAAATGATTGCTTCGATGGAGGTGCTGGTGGAGAACAGAAAGGCCTGTTCCATCTCTGACCATAACCCATACTTCTTTTCCCGCCCGGGCGCAGACACCCACATCAGGGGATCAGACTCCCTACGCCAGGTAGCCAAAGAATGTGGTGCGGTGCATCCAGAGATGCTATCCTCAACCAAACTTAGAAAGCACATAGCTACTATGTCTACAGTTCTCAATATGAAAGAGAATGAGATGGACATACTTGCCAACTTCCTCGGCCATGACATTCGCATCCACAGGCAATATTACAGACTACCAGAGGGGACACTGGAGCTGGCCAAAATCAGCAAAGTGTTGATGGCCATGGAGCAGGGAAGAGTGACGGAATTCGAAGGAAAGAGCCTCGACCAGATACAAATTGAGCCTGAAGGTAATTCTTGATATTATTAAAATATGTATGATTTTTTTTCCCCTAAAGGCCACTTGTATTTTTATTTTCTGTGCGACAGGGAGAGCAGTAGAGATCCTCTCACAAACGGACGGGCTAAAAGAAACTTCAAGCGGAGAACCTTCAACCATTCATCCAGATGCACCCCATGGTAGTGGCAGTGCCCCTTCTGGTAAGTGTACCAGGTGGGGGATTACAGCCAGGCTGCTTGGTCCTAACCCTGGGAGTGTATATTGCTAATATATTTTTATTTCTCTCCCTAGAACGTGTAAGAAAGCCATGGTCTGCATCTGAGGTGAAGGCTGTGGAGAAGACCATGACACCTTTCATACAGACTGGAAAGGTCCCTGGGAAGTCTCACTGGCCTGGCCTGGCCTGGCCTGCATTAATGCCTCACCAGATGACCTTAGACATCGGACATGGAGTGGCATTAAATTCTATGTCAAAAATAGAATCACTGCAATTCGAAAAAAAAATCTAAAATAAAATTCCTTTAAAATAGTTGTTTGGTTTCTATTGACTGTTTTGTATTACTTAAAGTCTTGGTAAAAAAAGATTATGTCTATGGGTCCCATTCTGAACGGCCCTGTCAAAGGGACCCACCAGGTAACAAAAACGTGTATGTGTGTGTATGTGTGTGTGTGTGTACCTTCTCCAGCTCCAGCAGGTGGAAGCGCAGCACCTGGATGGCTTGGATCATCTGCAGAAGAATAATCGTACAATCAGGATTCGAGACAAAATACATGAATCATTAGGCTTTGGAGGTAATTATACCAGAGAGAGACCAGAGAGAGAGAGAGACCAGAGAGAGAGACCAGAGAGAGACCAGAGAGAGAGACCAGAGAGAGACCAGAGAGAGAGACCAGAGAGAGAGAGACCAGAGAGAGAGGGACCAGAGAGAGAGAGAGCAGAGAGAGAGAGAGCAGAGAGAGAGAGACCAGAGAGAGAGAGAGACCAGAGAGAGACCAGAGAGAGAGACCAGAGAGAGAGAGAGCAGAGAGAGAGAGACCAGAGAGAGAGAGACCAGAGAGAGAGAGACCAGAGAGAGAGAGACCAGAGAGAGAGAGACCAGAGAGAGAGAGACCAGAGAGAGAGAGACCAGAGAGAGAGAGACCAGAGAGAGAGAGACCAGAGAGAGAGAGACCAGAGAGAGAGAGACCAGAGAGAGACAGAGAGAGACCAGAGAGAGAGAGACCAGAGAGAGAGAGAGAGACCAGAGAGAGAGAGAGACCAGAGAGAGAGAGAGACCAGAGAGAGAGAGACCAGAGAGAGAGAGACCAGAGAGAGAGAGACCAGAGAGAGACCAAAGAGAGACCAAAGAGAGACCAGAGAGAGACCAGAGAGAGAGACCAGAGAGAGAGACCAGAGAGAGAGACCAGAGAGAGAGACCAGAGAGAGAGACCAGAGAGAGCGACCAGAGAGAGAGACCGGAGAGAGAGACCGGAGAGAGAGACCGGAGAGCGACCAGAGAGAGAAACCAGAGAGAGACCAGAGAGAGAGACCAGAGAGAGACCAGAGAGAGACCAGAGAGAGAGACCAGAGAGAGAGACCAGAGAGAGAGAGACCAGAGAGAGAAACCAGAGAGAGACCAGAGAGAGAGACCAGAGAGAGAGACCAGAGGGAGACCAGAGAGAGACCAGAGAGAGAGACCAGAGAGAGAGAGACCAGAGAGAGACCAGAGAGAGACCAGAGAGAGGAAGCAGAAAGAGACCAGAGAGAGACCAGACAGAGAGAGACCAGAGAGAGATCAGAGAGAGAGACCAGAGAGAGAGAGAGACCAGAGCGAGAGACCAGAGAGAGACCAGAGAGAGACCAGAGAGAAACCAGAGAGAGAGACCAGAGAGAGACCAGAGAGAGAGACCAGAGAGAGGGACCAGAGAGAGAGACCAGAGAGAGAGACCGGAGAGAGAGACCAGAGATAGGGAGCAGAGAGAGAGACCAGAGAGAGACCAGAGAGAGAGACCAGAGAGAGACCAGAGAGAGAGACCAGAGAGAGACCAGAGAGAGACAAGAGAGAAAGACCAGAGAGAGAGACCAGAGAGAGACTATAAAGAGAGACCGGAGAGAGAGACCAGAGAGAGAGACCAGAGAGAGACCGGAGAGAGAGACCAGAGAGAGAGACCAGATAGAGAGACCAGAGAGAGAGACCAGAGAGAGAGACCAGAGAGAGAGACCAGAGAGAGAGACCAGAGAGAGACCAGAGAGAGAGACCAGAGAGAGACCAGAGAGAGAGACCAGAGAGAGACCAGAGAGAGACCAGAGTGAGACCCCATATCTAACCGAGGATGCATCGGGGATAACGCTGGTATAACCATAACACCAAAAACTATAAAAAGTAACTATAAATATAACTCCATAACAAACATATCAACATGAGACAATAACAGATAATATACATGGTTTCTGGTATTTAACAGATAATAAACATGGTTTCTGGTATATAACAGATAATACACATGGTTTCTGGTATATAACAGATAATACACATGGTTTCTGGTATTTAACAAATAATAAACATGGTTTCTGGTATATAACAGATAATACACATGGTTTCTGGTATACAGTATAACAGATAATACACATGGTTTCTGGTATAGATAATACACATGGTTTCTGGTATATTACAGATAATACACATGGTGTCTGGTATATAACAGATAATACACATGGTTTATGGTATATAACAGATAATACACATGGTTTCTGGTCTATAACAGATATTACACATGTTTTCTGGTATATAACAGATAATACACATGGTTTCTGGTATATAACAGATAATACACATGGTTTCTGGTATATAACAGATAATACACATGGTTTCTGGTATATAACAGATAATACACATGGTTTCTGGTCTATAACAGATATTACACATGTTTTCTGGTATATAACAGATAATACACATGGTTTCTGGTTTATAACAGATAATACACATGGTTTCTGGTATATAACAGATAATACACATGGTTTCTGGTATATAACAGATAATACACATGGTTTCTGGTCTATAACAGATATTACACATGTTTTCTGGTATATAACAGATAATACACATGGTTTCTGGTATATAACAGATAACACACAGGGAGTAAAAGTTTGGTACCTCAGCTTTAATGTCTCTGTAACTTTCTTACCAGATTATCCAACTCTGGGTTTGATGAAAACAGAGGCTTCTCAGCTCGGATCTGAAAAGAACACATTTGATTTGACAAGTTATTTTATGTGTATTTTCCAGAGAACAAACCCAGCCCACAGGTACATTAGCACAGGTACATTAGCACAGGTAAATTAGCACAGGTACATTAGCCACAAGTACATTAGCAACAGGTACATTAGCAGCAGGTACATTAGCACAGGTACACTCACATTAGCATATTTATTTATGTATAACAGCTTCAAAACCAGAGAGACACATCAACCCCAGAATAGTCTCTACAATATGTATTATTAACAGCACAAGAATGTAGCTGTGAATTAATGGTCTCTCTCTCTCTCTCTACTCTCTCCTGGGTCTACAGCAGGGGTGCTCAATACGTCGATCGCGAAGGTAGTATTGGAAGATCGCATTACATATATATATTTTTTTAATCCGTTTATGCATTTGCGTGTGGACAGAGATAACCGGAGTTTTGCGTTTTTGCACGGCACAGTTTGCCCCCAAAACAACAACAACAAACAAAACGTGCGACCTCTGATCACTAAAGCATGGATCATACTGCCTTAACAGCGGTTCACAGCAGCGATCCTCGCTCCACATCAGAGAGCAGCAAAGTGATCACACACGCTCGAAAACAACCAAAACAGGAGCTAAACCAGGATCAAACCAGGGCTGAGGACTGGGGTCAATGCTTGTAAACATATGTCTTCACCATGGATCTATAATAACATGTCTTCACCCTGAGTTTCTACTATGACAGTGCCGCTACAGAACGAAAGTTACGAATGTAACTTTGGTTCTATGAATCCTGGATGACAGCCAGAGGCGGTGCTTAAATGCAAATTATTTCATAAATCATGCGGTTTTGCATGTACATCAACATACATTGTAGATATAAAGAATCCTCAATATATTTAGAAATGTATATATGTTTTGCATTTTTATAGTAGGTAGATCATTTTGACTTGATCATTTAATAAGTAGCTCGCATGCTGAAAAAGTGGGAGCACCCCTGGTCTACAGCCTCAGTCCTGGGTCCAGAGCTTCAGTCCTGGGTCCACAGCCTCAATCCTGGGTCTAGAGCCTCAGTCCTGGGTCTACAGCCTCAGTCCTGGGTCTACAGCCTCAGTCCTGGGTCTACAGCCTCAGTCCTGGGTCTACAGTCTCAGTCTTGGATCTACAGCCTCAGTCCTGGGTCTACAGCCTCAGTCCTGGATCTACAGCCTCAGTCCTGGGTCTACAGCCTCAGTCTTGGATCTACAGCCTCAGTCCTGGGTCTACAGCCTCAGTCCTGGATCTACAGCCTCAGTCCTGGGTCTACAGCCTCAGTCCTGGGTCTACAGCCTCAGTCCTGGGTCTACAGCCTCAGTCTTGGATCTACAGCCTCAGTCCTGGGTCTACAGCTTCAGTCCTGGATCTACAGCCTCAGTTCTGGGTCTACAGCCTCAGTCCTGGGTCTACAGCCTCAGTCCTGGGTCTACAGCCTCAGTCCTGGGTCTACAGCCTCAGTCCTGGGTCTACAGCATCAGTCCTGGGTCTACAGCCTCAGTCCTGGGTCTACAGCCTCAGTCCTGGGTCTACAGCCTCAGTCCTGGGTCTACAGCCTCAGTCCTGGGTCTACAGCCTCAGTCCTGGGTCTACAGCCTCAGTCCTGGGTCTACAGCCTCAGTCCTGGGTCTACAGCCTCAGTCCTGGGTCTACAGCCTCAGTCCTGGGTCTACAGCCTCAGTCCTGGGATACAGCCTCAGTCCTGGGTCTACAGCCTCAGTCCTGGGTCTACAGCCTCAGTCCTGGGTCTACAGCCTCAGTCCTGGGTCTACAGCCTCAGTCCTGGGTCTACAGCCTCAGTCCTGGGTCTACAGCCTCAGTCCTGGGTCTACAGTCTCAGTCCTGGGTCTACAGCCTCAGTCCTGGGTCTACAGCCTCAGTCCTGGGTCTACAGCCTCAGTCCTGGGTCTACAGCCTCAGTCCTGGGTCTACAGCCTCAGTCCTGGGTCTACAGCCTCAGTCCTGGGTCTACAGCCTCAGTCCTGGGTCTAGAGCCTCAGTCCTGGGTCTACAGCCTCAGTCCTGGGTCTACAGCCTCAGTCCTGGGTCTACAGCCTCAGTCCTGGGTCTACAGCCTCAGTCTTGGATCTACAGCCTCAGTCCTGGGTCTACAGCCTCAGTCCTGGGTCTAAAGTCTCAGTCCTGGGTCTACAGCCTCAGTCCTGGGTCTACAGCCTCAGTCCTGGGTCTACAGCCTCAGTCTTGGATCTACAGCCTCAGTCCTGGGTCTACAGCCTCAGTCCTGGGTCTACAGCCTCAGTCCTGGGTCTACAGCCTCAGTCCTGGATCTACAGCCTCAGTTCTGGGTCTACAGCCTCAGTCCTGGGTCTACAGCCTCAGTCCTGGGTCTACAGCCTCAGTTCTGGGTCTACAGCATGTATAGAGTCTAGAGTTTCACCTGTTTGGCGAACACGGCAATGTCCTCGTTGAAGGAGTCGGAGGAGCAGACGTCGCCGCCCGCCACGCCCGGCTCCCGCGGCGTGCACGTGGCCAACTCGCACTTCTCAAACACCAGTGCCAGCAGCGGGAATAACGGGTGTCTGTGAACGCAACACACACACACACACACACACACACACACACACACTGACAAATTATTATGCTATGTTTACAACTGTATAGTGACCTGATAACGTGAGAAGACACCATAAAACTCTGGACCAGTGACTATCGGACCAACTGGACATGGATAATAAACTGTTGTTAAATACATTTGGATTCCCTCAGGTCTTGCTGGTCTCTCTCTGTCCCTGGTCTCTCTCTCTGGTTTCTCTCTCACTCTCTGGTCTAGTCTTGGTTTTGGGTCTCTCTCTGGTCTCTCTCTCGCTCACTCACTGGTCTCTTTCTCTGTCTTTCTCTCGATGGTCTCTCTGTTTCTCTCTGGTCTCTCTCTAGTCTATGTTTCTGGTCTCTCTCTGGTCTCTTTCTCTCTCTCGATGGTCTCTCTCTTTTTTGGTCTCACTCTCTGGCCTCTCTCTCTCTCTCTCTCTCTGGTCTCTCTCTCTGCCTCTCTCTGGTCTCTCTCTCGCTCTCTCTCTCTACCCCCCTGCACCTACCCGTAGATGTGGTCCTTGTCTCGCTTCAGTGCGTCGCTCACCGCGCTGCCCATGCTTCCCGGGAGCATGTTGTGCGGTGCGTGGGCCCCGTAGTGCTGCGTGGGGTGCGGCGGAGGCCCGTGGTTCAGGTGGTGCACCGGGGGCAGCGGTCGGGGCGCGTGAGGGTCCCCGTACATGGAGCCCACTCCGTCCATGGCGCCTCCGTAGTGCGCCAGCTCGTCGTACTGAAGGATCGATACAGAGACCGTCAGAGACATAGAACCTCACGGGTCTGCGGAAGGTCCGTGTCCGAGGCTGGACTCAATCTAATCTGAGTTATGGATTATGGACCGAGAGGATCATGGGAAAATTATGAACTAGTGAAATCTGAAGATGAGAAGGTGAGAGCACGTGTGTCGTGTGTTTGAGTCTGGCCTTAAATCACAGCAGGAGGTTTCTCAGAGGACATGACAAAGTTGCTGATTCGCCAACAACAGATCAAACACGGAAATGCAGTGATAAAAAAACACACAGAGACATAAAGAGCAGAGACCGATGTTCCACTGAAGAAAAACTATTAACAAAACACTATAGATTTGATTTACTTTCACTAATTTTCCTCAACAATAAATAGTCTATTTTATCTTTCCAAAAAAACAAACCACAATTTCCTCAGAAAAATATTAATAATAATAATAATAATAATAATAATAATAATAATAATAATGATAATGATAACAACAATATAATAATAATAATATTAATAATTATAATAATAATAATAATAATAATAATTATTATTATTATTATTATTACTATTATTACATTTTAAAAAATATATTTTTTTAGGTCATCAGCTAAACCATCAGCGACAGATATACATGTAGGGCCAATATATCACGAAGCCACATGATCAAATCCACTTTAATTACATAGCACATTTCATACACAACCCGATTCCAAAAATAGGAAGACGCAGGCCCTGTGCTCTGGGTTTGAGACCACAGAGAAGGCCCTGTGCTCTGGGTTTGAGACCACAGAGAAGGCCCTGTGCTCTGGGTTTGAGTCCACAGAGAAGGCCCTGTGCTCTGGGTTTGAGACCACAGAGAAGGCACTGTGCTCTGGGTTTGAGACCACAGAGAAGGCACTGTGCTCTAGGTTAGGTTTCGCATGGGCAGCAAGAGCTCGGACCTCGGACCTCGGACCTCGGACCTCAGACCTCTCTGCGCGCGTGCATTTGAATAAGATCCGAGACGTACTGTACATTGAGGCTAAAGTCCATCCAATCAAATCCTTACAATCAAATCTAAAAAGAACAGGACACCAGAGCGATGCAAGGGTCTGAGAGTCCTGACGTCTCTGCAGAAACCGGGACCGACTCTGAACACGCGCACACACTTTGGGGGAAGCCTGAATAAAGTACATTACAAAGTACGTTACATTCCAATGGGCTAGAAACAGCAGTGTGTGTGTGTGTGTGGGTGAGAGAGACCTGCTCAAAAATATAAAAAATAAAAACAAGGCTGTATAGTATATTACATAATCATCTTGGTTTCAGACTCAAATTCCATTGGTCCATACGTTAAAGTACAGAGAAAATGAAATGTCGCAAAAAAAAAAGAAAATTTATTTTATGACGCTGTTAAAATGACACTTTCTCACACTTTCTTTATTCTTAAGAATGCTTTTTTTTCATCTCATTCTACCTCGTTACGGTCTTGTTTTAATGGAATTCTCTGCGCAGTAAAAGAAGAAAGAAGCCGCGCATTTCCAGGAGGCCGAGGCTGTCATCCAGAGACTGATCCAGGCCTTCAGTCCAGAGACAGATTCTGTGTCAGACTAATCTTCTCCAAAATAATCATTTATAATCCCGTGTCGTCATTACGCACAGACCTCTCCTCATGTAAAGGAATCTCTAACGTTTAGATGTGAGATGTTTTCGCTTCCTCCGTGGCTTCATGTGGATTTTTATTTTATATGATTATATTATTATAGTCTATTTGATGGGGACAGAACAAAAAGCACTGTTAAAAATATATGTTCATAGGCAATAACAGCCAATTTGCAGACCTGTCCCTAAAACATATATATTTTTTAATTTTAAGTTTGCACTGTCCTACGTTTAATGTGGGTAATCTTCATATTATTGTGGCGAGTATAGCAAGTCAAAATCTATCTTTTTAATCCCTATTTTTTAAAATTATTGTTATTATTATTATTATTATTATTATTGGTATTAGTTTTCTACAGTTTGGTTGCCAACTTTGATCAGCGAGAGAGAGAGAGAGAAAAGAGAAAGAGGCAGAGAGGGTTGTCGCGTGAATAAACTGGGAAGCTGACCTTGTGCCACAATCATTATTATTATTATTATTATTATCATTATGTTTATAATTATTTTTATTATTATTCATTGTAAACTTGCACATCCACATCCTGCAGTGATGGTGAACCCCTAGATATGAAGCGTAGACTGATGCACGTCACGCTCCTCCAGTATAAATCCTCATAACTCCATCTGCAGATAAATCTATAGGCGTTAAATATATTCGTTGAAAAAAAAAACAATGCATATTTATCTGTAAAGCACATTTAAAACAGCCTAGGTTTACCGAAGTGCTGTGCAGGCAAGCGAAAAAACAGACATTGAAAAACACACAAAAATGTATGTATATATATTTTAAAAATAAAAACGTGTCTCTTATTTATCTGCTGTTAAAAGGCTCACGCGTCTAAACAGGGACGTGTAAAGATGAAGAAAATATTGTGGGACTGATTCAGGATTTCTTAAAACACATTATGTCTGAGTTGGAAATGAAGAGAGAGAAATTGGTCTCAAAATTCTGCACAATTTTCACATTTATCCAGGTTTAAGAAAGCGGCAAAAATACTGGACTTTGCACGTACCCGTTGCGCCATCCTCTCCGCGGGTCCTGGTTCCGGTCGCAAATAAATAAATAAATACTCCACTCGGTGTAATCCCAAAAACAAACTTGTTATGAGGGTCCTGGATCAAGAGCGCGTTGTTTTGGTGTTTTGTTCTTTCAATCCCAAAGTCCGTGCGTCACCGTGTGCCCAGCGCGAAGGACTGAAGCCGCGCGCTCCCGAGCATCACCAGAGGCCGAGAGGGGAGGGGGGAGAGAGAGAGAGAAGGAGAGAGAGAGAGAAAGAGACCCGAGCTAAGACTGAGTCCAAGGGGAGAGTGCGCGATGCTGTGGGGGAGCTCGGGTCTCTGCGCAGGACCTTACCGTCTGTGGCCGCGGGAGGTGCGACAGGATCCGGTCTGTCTCTGAAGTAAAAGACGGTCCTTTCTGAACGATCTCACGAGGCAGACGTCAAGTGAGCCACGTGTGTGCAGTGTGTCAATGTAAAGAAAGAAGCGAAGACAGTTAGTTATGGAGGGAGCTCTGACTAGATCCTCTGCGCCAGGGGGAACCGGAGACACGTGGAGCAAAGAGGAGACTGCGGGCTCTTGTTTTGAAGGAGCTTTATGGGTTTAGTTCACCCGGTGTGAGTTTGTCATGTTTTGGCAGTAGTATAGAAGTAGTAGAAGTATAAGTAGAAGTAGTGGTAGTGGTAGTGGTAGTAGTTGCGGTAGTAACAGTAGTAGTAGTAGTAGTAGAAGTAGAAGTAGTAGTAGCGGTAGTAAAAGTAGTAGTAGTAGTACAAGTAGTAGAAGTTGTAGAAGTTGTAGTAGTAGTAGTAGTAGTAGTAGTAGTAGAAGTGGTTGTATTAGTGGTATTAGAAGAAGGAGAAGAAGGCCCAGCAGGCGGCCAGTCCCTGTGCTCCTCAGAGTCCCAGCAGGAGGCCAGTCCCTGTGCTCCTCAAGTGTGAGAGGGACTGAAAACCAGAAGACGTTTTATTTTTGTATTTTTTATTCCAAGTGTCATTGACAATAATTCACTCGTCACTTCACCTGTTGATATTATCACTGATGTTTATTCTGCTCATATTCTCCGCTGCTTAAGAACAAAACACACATCTGTAAATACTTCTGAACCAAGAGACATTATAGCTCCAGTTTATTTTACTTTATTTTATTCTTTGTCTTATTTGAAGGATATTGTCTGTTATCTTAAATTATAGACTCTTTGATGTGAGTCTTATTTCCTTCTTTTTCTGCTACTCTGGGATTCAAAACAAGAAGGTCCTGGGTTTGATTCCCCCTCCAGACAAGGCCTTATGTGTGGGGTTCTCTTGTTCTCCTCGTATCTGACAAATATCCTCATTTAGTCCTGGATCTACAGTCTCAGTCCTGGGTCTACAGTCTCAGTCCTGGGTCTACAGCCTCAGCCCTGGGTCCACAGCTTCAGTCCTGGGTCTACAGCCTCAATCCTGGGTCTACAGCCTCAGTCCTGGATCTACAGCCTCAGTCCTGGGTCTACAGCCTCAGTCCTGGGTCTACAGCCTCAGTCCTGGATCTACAGCCTCAGTCCTGAGTCTACAGCCTCAGTCCTGGGTCTACAGCCTCAGTCCAGGATCTACAGTCTCAGTCCTGGGTCTACAGCCTCAGCCCTGGGTCCACAGCTTCAGTCCTGGGTCTACAGCCTCCGTCCTGGGTCTACAGCCTCAGTCCTGGGTCTACAGCTTCAGTCCTGGGTCTACAGCCTCAGTCCTGGGTCTACAGCCTCAGTCCTGGATCTACAGCCTCAGTCCTGGGTCTACAGCCTCAGTCCTGGGTCTACAGCCTCAGTCCTGGATCTACAGCCTCAGTCCTGAGTCTACAGCCTCAGTCCTGGGTCTACAGCCTCAGTCCTGGGTCTACAGCTTCAGTCCTGGGCCCACAGCCTCAGTCCTGGGTCCACAGCCTCAGTCCTGGGTCTACAGCTTCAGTCCTGGGTCTACAGCCTCAGTCCTGGGTCTACAGCTTCAGTCCTGGGTCTACAGCTTCAGTCCTGGATCTACAGCCTCAGCCCTGGGTCCACAGCCTCAGTCCTGGGTCCACAGCCTCAGTCCTGGGTCCACAGCCTCAGTCCTGTTATGATTTAGGTTTTTCCACAAATAGATTGAATGGAATTGAAATATCGTAGGTTTTGGTAAACACAAGATTATCATTAAGAACATATTCAGCTAATTACGGTCCACTTCCTTTGCGTTGGCGAGTCCCATAATGAGAAAACATTTGCACCAAAGTTTTTTTCTCTCTCTTTTTTGATCCGTAAGAACTCTGTGTCTTTTGATATGCTCCACATGTGAATTATTAAAGGCCTGGATTTGAATTATAAATACATAAGGAAACAGGCAAAACATGCAGGCAGCCCGGGGCTACGACTCTCCTCCTCTGCTCTCTCCTTCTTCTCCTTTGTGTGTTTACGTGCCCCCCCCCCCCCATACCCCCACACCCCCCATGCCCTCCCCATCTTAGGACCACCCCCCCTCCCCTGTGCTCGCCGCTCTGATCTGAATAGAGGCTGATCCAGGGTGTCAGGGCTTGTCTTAAGTGTAATAAATTACCATCTCAGCCACGTCACCAGAGAGAAGCGAGTACCAGCGTTCCCTGACCTCCCCCCCCCCCGCCCTCCCTCATCCCCCCCCCGCCCTCCCTCATCCCCCCCCCCCTCGCTCCCTGTCCCACACACACACACTCGGGCTGGTCCAGGGTGTCAGCCGCCATCCGCCGTCCTGCTGAGGATCATTAGCCTTGTCAGAGGTGTGGGAGAAGGAGGCCAAGCACGGACCTGGATGGAGAGCCTGGTACAGAAGCGTGGAGAATACAAACAGGTTTGTATTCAAGAAAGAGAAGGCGCTGAGTTTTCTGTCCACGGCCGCTTTCCCACGAGATGTTTGGAGAAATCCTGTAAAGTATGGACTCGTGTTTTAGTAGGAAGTCATCTTTAATTATATAGCGCCCTTGACAGACCAGAGTCACACAACGCTCCATCTCTCACTCCACACAGAGATGGAGCAGGGTCGCCTACAGGAGTCACATCCCAGACCTATAAAACATTGACTTAGAGGGTAGGGGAAACCGGAGCTCTTGGAGGAAACCTATGCAGACACAGGGAGAACATGCAAACTCCACTCAGAGACGCCCTGTTCAGGAGCTTCTGGCTGAGAAGAGAGTTTGCTAGCTCTAAATCACAACAGCATTTATCTCGGAGGACTTTTTGTCAATACCCAAAGCTCAAGACCAGGGGTGACAGGACGGAGGGGATGTGGACTGAGCCGTAAAAAGAGAGCTCTGACTGCAGACACTGCTCCCTCTTCAGCGGCCGCATCACTGCACACATTGTTTCTGTCGTTTGTCAATCTCACGCGCCATCCTTCCCTCACTGTGAACAAGATCCTGAGAGACCTGAGGAAGGACAACGGCGCCTGGAGAGGACGAGGCGCCTGGAGAGGACGAGGCGCCTGGAGAGGACGAGGCGCCTGGAGAGGACGAGGCGCCTGGAGAGGACGAGGCGCCTAGAGAGGACGAGGCTCCTAAACGTAAAATAGAAAACTAACTGGATGTTTTCATAATTCAGGATTCGAGGAGTTCTAGCAGATTCTGATTATCACCTTAGAAATATACGACAGCCTCAGTTCTTTGACCATGTGCAGCAGGTGCTATACTAAGGGTGTATTCAGACCTGCACATTTGCTCCACTTTAAACGATCCGAATCTTTTATGCAGGTCTGAATACACACAAACGAATCCTGGTCCGGACCAAAGAACCGAACCGAGACCCACTTTTTGAGGTGGTCTCGGTCCGCTTCCAAACGAATTCTGGTCCAAGTCGAATCAGGTCTGAATACATCCGGTGTCGATCCGACACAACTCCAAGATACGTGCGCATTTTTTGGGCTTAACAAGCCGCAGACAGAAACTGAGGAATTAGCCATGCGTCACAGCGGCTAACTATGCTGCTAACTATGATGCTAACTATGCTGCTAACTATGCTGCTAACTATGATGCTAACTATGCTGCTAACTATGATGCTAACGCTACACAACAACACTGAGCCGTGTGCAGACCTGGAGCAGTGAGGAGACGCTGTGCAACAGGCTTATGGAGTTACAACTGTTCACAGTATACATTGATGTTAATGCAGCATCTTCAAACCATTTGCATTATTAAAAGCCTGACACTGTTTGACTCACGTCTCAAAGAGCAATATTCCGCATCATGTAGTGAATTGTGTTCTTTGGTTCCTACCTGATCCTCAGCGTCTGTTTGTCCCGTGGTTATTATAGATCCATGGTTTATCCACGGCGCTGCTGTCAGTAAGTTGTGGAACAGGGTTATCATAGATCCATGTGTGGGACAGAGTTATTATCATAGATCCATGTGTGGGACAGAGTTATTATCATAGATCCATGTGTGGGACAGAGTTATTATCATAGATCCATGTGTGGGACAGAGTTATTATCATAGATCCATGTGTGGGACAGAGTTATTATCATAGATCCATGTGTGGGACAGAGTTATTATCATAGATCCATGTGTGGGACAGAGTTATTATCATAGATCCATGTGTGGGACAGAGTTATTATCATAGATCCATGTGTGGGACAGAGTTATTATCATAGATCCATGTGTGGGACAGGGTTATTATCATAGATCCATGTGTGGGACAGAGTTATTATCATAGATCCATGTGTGGGACAGAGTTATTATCATAGATCCATGTGTGGGACAGAGTTATTATCATAGATCCATGTGTGGGACAGGGCACGGAGCGCAGACAGTCTCCTTCGGCTTTCTCCTCACGCATTCTCCGACGCTGTTCCAATATTTAAAACAACGTGTTTCACCTGCGTCATATGAGCTGTTGATGTTGAAGGTGGTTTTGCTCTAAAAAGAGCAAACATAGGCAGAGCAGACATGCTGCACATACGAGCCCTCAATGTTTTCCTCAGGTTCCGCATCTATCCTCCGTGAGCTGTCTCTGTCCAATAGGAGCGCCGATCGTCACACGTGTCAATATGTTTATATAAAAAAGTTCACTTGCAAAAAGGACAGTCTGAATACGAACCGGAGCAAAAGAAAAAAGTTTGGTCCGCTTTTGATTCGGATCAAGCAAGCGGAGCAAAGGACTTTTCAGGTCTGAATACACCCTTACTTTCTATAGGGACCAACATGGTGGACAGTAAACGTGGTGGAAAGATTAAGATGAAGAGATCCTGGAGAAATGTCAGTGTTGCATCACTGTTACACAACAGTAAGAATGAGGAGCATACAGCACAAGACAAGTAAGTAAGTAATGTTTATTTATATACCGCCTTTTCACTCTAACCAGAGACTCAAAGCGGTTTACAATTGTTATTTTTTTTGGGCATTAGTCTCTCACTCCACACAGAGATGGGAGCGGGGCCAGTACGGGAGGCGCATGCCAGAACTATTGTACATATTTTTAGTGGTAGGGGAAACCGGAGTACCCGGAGGAAACCTACGCAGACACGGGGAGAACATGCAAACTCCACTCAGAAAGGCCCTGGTCCGACTGGGATTCGAACCCAGGACCTTCTTGCTGAGAGGCGAGAGTGCTAACCACTCAGCCACCATGCCGCCCTTCCGACAAATGAACAATAACTCTGTACTATAATAAAGTAAAATCCCCAACTTTAACATATTAAAGAAGCTAACATCTCTAACCTAGCATAGCCCACAGACAGGGACATAGCACCCTTCTCCCTCTGCGCGCTGACGAGTATTGATAAATACTAATGTTCTGTGGGTAAAGTGTGACGCGACAGTCTTTGTGCGGAGAGAGAACCAGCGTCTGTCATTTCCATAAAGCATCCATCACAACACTCATTATAAATCCTTCAGCTAATGCAGCGCACGCCATCCATCACGCCGCAATCAATTCACCCCATGCTCCTGTTCATTAGCATCCTGCAGGAGAGCGGCCCCGGCTCCACCTCCACACCACCTCCACACCACCTCCATGCATTTGTCTCCAGTAGGTTAGACTACTGCAATGGCCTGCTCACAGGTCTGTCCAAACAGGCTGTAAAACAGCTGCAGTACATTCAAAATGCAGCAGCTCGAGTCCTGACTAGAACCAGAAAGTACGACCACATTAGTCCTGACTAGAACCAGGAAGTACGACCACATTAGTCCTGACTAGAACCAGGAAGTACGACCACATTAGTCCTGACTAGAACCAGGAAGTACGACCACATTAGTCCAGTCCTCAGGTCTCTGCACTGGCTTCCTGTGGCTCAGAGAATAGACTTTAAAACAGCTCTGCTTGTTATAAGTCTCTCCATGGCCTCGCACCAAAATATATTAATGACATGTTAGTCCCATATGAACCAGCCCGGACTCTGAGGAGCACAGGGACTGGACTCCTGCTGGGACTCTGAGGAGCACAGGGACTGGACTCCTGTTAGTGCCCAGAGTCAGGACTAAACATGGGGAGGCTGCTTTTCAGATTCATGCTGCTAAAATCTGGAACAGTCTTCCTGAAGATGTGAGACAGGCCTCCTCTCTGACAATATTTAATACCAGGTTAAAGACAGTTCTGTTTAGCTGTGCTACAACTGAGGGATTTTATATTTTTATCTTTCTTTTTAATGTTCTGTGATAATTTATGATTTTAATGCTTTCTTGTTTTGTTCAGCACTTTGAATTGCCTTGTGTATGAATTGTGCTATATAAATAAACTAGCCTTGCCTTGCCTTACCTCCACGCCACCTCCTCTACACCACCTCCAAACCCCACGTCCACACCACCTCCACGCCACCTCCACGCCAACATACGCCACCTCAACGCCACCTCAACGCCACCTCCACGTCACCTCCACGCCACCCCCCCCTCCACGCCACCTCCACGCCACCTCCACGCCACATACGCCACCTCAACGCCACCTCAACGCCACCTCCACGTCACCTCCACGCCACCTCCACGCCACCTCCACGCCACCTCCACGCCACCTCCACGCCAACATACGCCACCTCAACGCCACCACTCAACGCCACCTCCACGTCACCTCCACGCCACCTCCACGCCACCTCCACGCCACCTCCACGCCACCTCCACGCCAACATACGCCACCTCAACGCCACCTCAACGCCACCTCCACGCCACCTCCACGCCAACATACGCCACCTCAACGCCACCTCAACGCCATCTCCACGCCACCTCCATGCCACCTCCACGCCACCTCCACGCCAACAACACCTCTCCCGCAAACACTCCTGACCTGGTATCTTACTACAACAGCACACTCTCCTCCTGCTTAGACACCCTGGCTCCTATCAAAACCGCATCTGTCACTTTCACCCGTTCTGCACCATGGTACACCACAGAGCTACGCAACCTCAAAAAACAACGCCGTCAACTTGAACGCCTTCACAATAAAACCGGCCTCACTGTTCATCTTCAAGCCCTCAATGACCACACTCTCCTCTACAGATCTGCTCTTTCCACAACCCGCACTGCTTTCTATACTGAAATGATCACCTCTGGCTCCTCCAATCCCCGCACCCTGGGTTCCACAGTCAACAAACTTCTTAAACCACCGGACAATATAACTCAATCCTTTACCACGGCAAAATGCAACATCTTTCTTACTTTTTTCAAATCCAAAATCGACAACATCCACCAGCAGCTCACCAAAACCCCCGTTCCTGTCATACCTGACCCCTCTCCCCGAACTGTAAGCCCCCTCTCCCACCTCTCACCTATCTCAGAACCAGATCTCCAAAAGTTATTTACAAATATTAAATTCTCCACTTGCCCCCTGGACCCCATCCCTTCGTCTTTCGTCAAATCATGCCTCCCGTCTCTCAGCCCCCTCATTTTAGAAATAATCAACTCCTCTCTCACCTCTGGTACCGTGCCCCCCGCCTTCAAGATGGCAACCATCACACCCATCCTCAAAAAACCAAACCTGGATCCTGACGACCCCAACAACTTTCGCCCCATCTCCAACCTTCCCTTTCTGTCTAAAATCCTCGAACGATCTGTCGCTGCTCAACTCAACAACCATCTCAACTCCAACTCCCTCTTTGACAAATTTCAATCCGGTTTCCGTTCCCAACATAGCACTGAAACAGCACTGCTCAAAGTCATCAACGACCTCCTCCTCACCTCAGATTCTGGCTCCCTCTCCATCCTGCTACTCCTTGACCTCTCCGCCGCCTTCGACACTATTGACCACTCCATCCTCCTCCACCGTCTCCAGTTCACCACTGGCATTACCGGCTCTACACTCTCCTGGTTCTCATCCTACCCCTCCAACAGATCTCACTACATCGCCATCAACAACTGCTCATCCCGCTGCATCCCGGTCACCCACGGAGTACCTCAAGGCTCGGTCTTGGTCCCCTCCTTTTCATTCTTTACATGCTCCCCCTTGGCCACATCATCCACCAGCACGGTTTCAATTTCCACAGCTATGCAGATGACACTCAACTTTACCTCTCAGCCAAATCCATAACCCCTGCCACCATCTCCTCCATCACAAATTGCATATCCGCAATAAAATCCTGGATGTCCACCAATTTCCTCCAACTCAACTGCAAAAAATCAGAAATTATTATTATCGGCCCCAAGTCCCTCCTTTCCAATACCCAGCATTTCACACTCTCCATCGACAGCCACACCATCTCACCCTCTGCTCAGATCAGAAACCTCGGAATCATCCTTGATCCCACCCTTTCCTTCAAGCCCCACATCCGCAACATCACCAAAACTGCCTTCTTTCATCTTAAAAACATTGCCCGTCTTCACCCATATCTTTCCTCCACCGCTGCTGAAACCCTGATCCATGCATTTATATCCTCCAGACTCGATTTCTGCAACAGTCTTTTATATGGCCTTCCTTCATCTGATCTCCAAAAACTACAATATGTCCAAAACTCCGCCGCCCGCCTCCTCACTCAGACCCGCTCCAGAGAGCACATCACCCCTGTCCTTCAAAAACTCCACTGGCTCCCCGTTAAACAGCGCATCCATTTCAAAATCCTCCTCATCACCTACAAAGCCCTCCATAACCTCGCTCCTCCAGACCTCACTGAACTTCTACAGCCCTACAGTCCCTCCCGCCGACTCCGATCTGCAGACTCACATCTCCTCACTCCCACTGTCAAATCCAAGCACCGAACCTTGGGGGACCGAGCTTTCGCCATCTCTGCTCCCACTCTCTGGAACTCCCTCCCCCTCCATCTCAGAAACTCGGACTCTCTAAACTCCTTCAAAAAACAGCTCAAAACTCACCTTTTCCTCCGAGCATTTGACTCTTAGTTTAAACTCTCTACCCTTCTTCCTCACTCTTAGATTTTTTTGTGTGTCTGTCTAAACGTGTGTGTTTGTGTCATGAACTTGTGAAGCGTCTTTGAGTTCTTGAAAAGCGCTATATAAAACTGATGTATTATTATTATTATTATTATTATAACATACGCCACCTCAAACGCCACCTCAACGCCACCTCAACGCCACCTCCACGCCACCTCCACGCCAACATACGCCACCTCAACGCCACCTCAACGCCACCTCCACGCCACCTCCACGCCACCTCCACGCCACCTCCACGCCACCTCCACGCCACCTCGACGCCACCTCCACGCCACCTCCACGCCACCTCCACGCCAACATACGCCACCTCAACGCCACCTCAACGCCACCTCAACGCCACCTCCACGCCACCTCCACGCCAACATACGCCACCTCAACGCCACCTCCACGCCACCTCCACGCCACCTCCACGCCACCTCCACGCCAACATACGCCACCTCAACGCCACCTCAACGCCACCTCAACGCCACCTCCACGCCACCTCCACGCCAACATACGCCACCTCAACGCCACCTCAACGCCACCTCAACGCCACCTCCACGCCACCTCCACGCCACCTCCACGCCACCTCCACGCCACCTCCACGCCAACATACGCCACCTCAACGCCACCTCAACGCCACCTCAACGCCACCTCCACGCCATCTCCACGCCAACATACGCCACCTCAACGCCACCTCAACGCCACCTCCACGCCACCTCCATGCCACCTCCACGCCACCTCCACGCCACCTCCACGCCAACATACGCCACCTCAACGCCACCTCCATGCCACCTCCACGCCACCTCCACGCCAACATACGCCACCTCAACGCCACCTCCATGCCACCTCCACGCCACCTCCACGCCAACATACGCCACCTCAACGCCACCTCCACGCCACCTCCATGCCACCTCCACGCCACCTCCACGCCAACATACGCCACCTCAACGCCACCTCCACGCCACCTCCATGCCACCTCCACGCCACCTCCACGCCAACATACGCCACCTCAACGCCACCTCAACGCGACCTCCACGCCACCTCCACGCCACCTCCGCGCCACCTCCATGCCACCTCCACGCCACCTCCACGCCACCTCCACGCCACCTCCACGCCAACATACGCCACCTCAACGCCACCTCCGCGCCACCTCCACGCCACCTCCATGCCACCTCCACGCAACCTCCACGCCACCACCACGCCACCTCCACGCCAACATACGCCACCTCAACGCCACCTCCACGCCACCTCCACGCCACCTCCACGCAACCTCCACGCCACCTCCACGCCAACATACGCCACCTCAACGCCACCTCCACGCCACCTCCACGCCACCTCCACGCCACCTCCACGCCAACATACGCCACCTCAACGCCACCTCAACGCCACCTCAACGCCACCTCCACGCCACCTCCATGCCACCTCCACGCCACCTCCACGCCACCTCCACGCCAACATACGCCACCTCAACGCCACCTCAACGCCACCTCAACGCCACCTCCACGCCACCTCCACGCCACCTCCATGCCACCTCCACGCCACCTCCACGCCAACATACGCCACCTCAACGCCACCTCAACGCCACCTCCACGCCACCTCCATGCCACCTCCACGCCACCTCCACGCCACCTCCGCGCCACCTCCACGCAACCTCCACGCCACCTCCACGCCAACATACGCCACCTCAACGCCACCTCCACGCCACCTCCACGCCACCTCCACGCCACCTCCACGCCAACATACGCCACCTCAACGCCACCTCCGCGCCACCTCCACGCCACCTCCATGCCACCTCCACGCAACCTCCACGCCACCTACACGCCACCTCCACGCCACCTCCACGCCACCTCCACGCCAACATACGCCACCTCCACGCCACCTCCACGCCACCTCCACGCCACCCCCAGGCAACCTCCACGCAACCTCCACGCCACCTCCATGCCACCTCCACGCCACCTCCACGCCAACATACGCCACCTCAACGCCACCTCCACGCCACCTCAACGCCACCTCTATGCCACCTCCACGCCACCTCCACGCCAACATACGCCACCTCAACGCCACCTCAACGCCACCTCCACGCCACCTCAACGCCACCTCCACGCCACCTCCACGCCACCTCCACGCAACCTCCATGCAACCTCCACGCCACCTCCATGCCACCTCCACGCCACCTCCACGCCAACATACGCCACCTCAACGCCACCTCCACGCCACCTCAACGCCACCTCTATGCCACCTCCACGCCACCTCCACGCCACCTCCACGCCACCTCCACGCCACCTCCACGCCACCTCCACGCCACCTCCACGCAACCTCCAGGAATAAAACCAGGATTTCTATTTTTGTGAAAAAGGTGTTGGTTATAGGTCTGGCGACCTGAGTCAGGGAGAGTGGGAGAGGCTGCAGTTCCACTTTTGGCCAGATTTTTACGTATTGCTCCTTCAAATATAGCGCAGTAACAACAACAGCAGGTGCCACTAAAGTGCTTCAAGTGCACAACAGATACAACAATAAAACAGCATGAAATACATGATGAAGCTAAATTGGAGGTTCTCATTTAGACACTGTTATTGTCATTGAGCTTTCATATCGTGCAGCAACCCTCCTCCTCCCCATCACTGCCTCATCAGCCGGACCATCTCACCAGGATGTAGGCCCCAAGAGAGTTACAATACAATACAATACAATTTATTCTTGTATAGCCCTAGGTCACAACAGAAGTCATCTCAGAGACTTAACAAAACCATTGAAATCACCAACACAGGTCAGAGAATCAACAGTTAAAACACATGAAGAATACAGTATAAAGCACACACAGAAGAAAATGTCCATACATGTTGTAGAATGCTAAAGTGTCCTGATCATCACCAATCCTTTCTGTTGGACACTAACTGTCCAACAAGACCCTCCTGCATCGACAAGGAACAACTCTTAAAAAACCCAGTGGGAAAAAGTGAGAAACCTTGGGGAGCACTAGGGAAACCCACAGGGAGGGAGACCCATATGAGAAAGGGATCCGCTCCTCCGGACGGACAGACTAATGATCTAGGACCTAAGCTAGCTACAGAACGTGGACCAGTGGACGCTGAACGTGGACAGGTCCGGTGCAGGACCGAAGCACTCCCAGGCGGGTCGGGCGGGGCAGTCCGCAGGTGTAGATGGAGGAGGCCAGGCTCAGAGATCCCGTCATCGTACCATGAAACAGACAATGGGACAACGGGTGAATAGCAATGAACAAACTACAGTCAGAATCCTAAAAATGCTAAACAGATAAAGTAGGAAGGAGGAGAGGATAGTGCTCAAGTTACCATACTTCTCCCAGCAAACTGACTCCCTATGCAGCTTGACTAACACTCTGAGGAGTTTAACCTTCTCCGAGTCTTACCTTCCTAGCCATATGCTAAACTAAAGAGGACTGTTTTAAACCTAGCCTTGAATAAAGAATAACATACAGCATAATATATAACATAATATACAACATAACACAATACATTATTGAATAATATATAACATAATATATAACATAATACAGCATATATATATAATATATACACTACATATTATATATTACCTAATTATATGCTAAATTAAAGTAAAGTGCTTTAAGCCTGGCCTTGAATGTGGAGACCGTATCTGCTTCAACCCATAGTCTCTTTTGTCACTTCCCCTTCTACATTTGCAGTGCTCCGCCGGGGTCTAAAAGCCAAATCAATCCAATTCAATTTACTTTTGTGTAGCCCTAAGTTTCAGCAGCTGTTGTCTCTGAGGAAGTTGTCAATTCACCAACAACTGATCAGAGAATCATCAATCAGAAGCATAATAATAACAAACACATAGGAGGCAGTAGACCCAGGACTGAAGCTGTAGACCCAGGACTGAGGCTGTAGACCCAGGACTGAGGCTGTAGACCCAGGACTGAGGCTGTATAGACCCAGGACTGAGGCTGTATAGACCCAGGACTGAGGCTGTAGACGCAGGACTGAGGCTGTAGACCCAGGACTGAGGCTGTATAGACCCAGGACTGAGGCTGTATAGACCCAGGACTGAGGCTGTAGATCCAGGACTGAGGCTGTAGATCCAGGACTGAGGCTGTAGATCCAGGACTGAGGCAGTAGACCCAGGACTGAGGCTGTAGATCCAGGACTGAGGCAGTAGACCCAGGACTGAGACTGTAGACCCAGGACTGAGGCTGTAGATCCAGGACTGAGGCTGTAGACCCAGGACTGAGGCTGTAGATCCAGGACTGAGGCTGTAGACCCAGGACTGAGGCAGTAGACCCAGGACTGAGGTTGTCACATGACCACATTTCAGGAACAGCAATAAATGTCATTCCAGAGCTTTATGAACAAATGTTTACAGTAACAGCTCATTAACCCAAACGATAAATACAATTATAATTAAAACCTCTTTCTCTGTTTCTCCAGTTTTAAATGTCAAACTGAGCTGGTGTTAGAAGCCAGGACTCACAAATACTCTAAACTCAGCTGTAATTCTCTTGCCCCAGTGCGAGGGACGTGGTGGCTGCAGACCCCTCCTCACCCCGTCACCCCCGCCCCCCCTGCCCCCCTCCCCGGGTGCGTGTCTGGGTGTCAGTATTAATGAGGCCAGATTTCATTTCCGATGAGCGATTATTTGACTGTTCATTTGGCTAAGATTTATGATGTGGGCCTATATCTGTAGCCCGCAGCGCTGCTCTAGTCTTTAATAAAGGGAAATGAAGACATTAATCACGCGGCGGCGGCAGTGAGCTCAGCGCGTGCACGGGGACGCACCGGTGCGTGCACGTGTTATCTGCGCGTGAGAGGAATGACTGTCTCCGTGTACGTGATTTAGAGCCCAAAATACCACACGGGAACGGGCTTTCCTCTGGGACGCGGCGGACCGTGCTCTCTGGGCCTGGGCCGGATGTGTCTCTGTCTGGAATATACTGGATTTATGATTTGAATGATTTGTTTTTATTGTTCTGTTAAACACTTGGAGTTACCTTGTGTGCTATGCAAATAAACTTGCCTTTCCTTGTGATCTGTGCGGTGTTCAAAGGCAGCATGAATGGAATATCAACGTGCTACAAATAAAGATGTGTTTTCGGTTTTATATTATGTTATATTTCCTGCATTATATGTAGGACTGGCCTCCTGCTGCAGGGACTCTGAGGAGCACAGGAACTGGCCTCCTGCTGGGACTCTGAGGAGCACAGGAACTGGCCTCCTGCTGGGACTCTGAGGAGCACAGGGACTGGCCTCCTGCTGGGACTCGGAGGAGCACAGGGACTGGCCTCCTGCTGGGACTCTGAGGAGCACAGGGACTGGCCTCCTGCTGGGACTCGGAGGAGCACAGGGACTGGCCTCCTGCTGGGACTCTGAGGAGCACAGGGACTGGACTCCTGCTGGGACTCTGAGGAGCACAGGGACTGGCCTCCTGCTGGGACTCTGAGGAGCACAGGGACTGGCCTCCTGCTGGGACTCTGAGGAGCACAGGGACTGGCCTCCTGCTGTTCCCAGAGTCAGGACTAAACATGAGGAGGCAACGTTTCAGATTTATGCAGCTAAAATCTAGAAGCTGCAAATATTGTATCTTGAGTCTTTTTAATGTACTGTGGTTATTTACGAGTTAAATATTCTGCTTTGTTTTGTTAAGCGGCTTGAGTTGCCTCATGTATGAACTGTGCTATACAAATAAACTCTGACAATAAACCAGACGAGCTTTCAAAATATGTTTTTTAAAGTGAAATGACCAAATGAAAGGAGTGATCAAACCGTTAAAGGGCTGTATGTCATCTGCTCCATGAAACATGTTAAACAGAGATAATAATGTTTCTGCCTCTGGCTCCACAGACTCGCTCACACCGCTCCCTCAGCTGTCAGTGGAGCAGCAGCGCCATCTGCAGGAAACGAGCGGCGTTACACTCAGACTGGACCGAACGAAAAAAACGTATTTAGCGGAAATCAGAAGCAACTTGTTCCTTAACCACGATGAGCCCAAGAGTAATGAAACTACAACAACTCCCGGAGCAGTCATTTAGACGGCTCCCTTAAACCAGTGCACATAATTCCGATTTTTTTTTAAATTATTATTTATTTATTTTTTAACTAAAGACAGTTTTGTTTTGTCATTTATCTATTTCTTCCGCTGTAGTTTCATATTAAGTGATTTATACGTTTGTTTGTTTTTTTACATTTGATAATTGCTAAACCATGGTGAATATAATTTTAATGATAGCAAAAATGCTAAACGGCACGGTGGCTGAGTGGATAGCACTCTCGCCTCTCAGCAAGAAGGTTGGAACAGGGGCTTTTTAAGTGGAGTTTGCATGTTCTCCCCGTGTCTGCGTAGGTTTCCTCCGGGTACCCCGGTTTCCCTATACCACTAAAAACACATGCAATAGTTCAGGGTGCTTGTGAATGCGAATCTGGGACAACGGACGCAAATTAGCCCAAGGCTACAATCCGCAGTGATATGTTCATTAACATGTACTGTCCCAACCAAATAAACAATAAATAAACATTGACACTGCGTTGCTATGGTTACGGCGTACGTTCTCCTCTGGAGGAAAACCAACGGACTCAGAATCAGTCCAAAACCAGCACTTTAGAGAATTTTACAACCACATCAAAGAGCAGTAAAAATGACTGCTCTGGGAGTTTAAGATAAAACTCACATCTCAAAAAAGAAATAAATAAAATGTGTCTGCGTGCCGTTTCACTCCTTCTGGAAAACAATAACTGAACAGCTGTCCATGATTTTTGGGCTGAAATGATCATAATAATGGCATTTCCTGTGTTTGGACGGTTTAATTATCTGATCTGTGTCGGCGAATCAACCACTAGGGCTATAGAAAAATACGTTGAATTAAGTTGAGTTGAAAAAGTTGGTGGAAACGGGGCTAAAAGTACATGGGATTAATTTACAAATGGCTAAAAACAATGCATCATCTTTCTTTATGAAACAATAACAGTGACACTGTTGAATACACTTCAAACACACAAGAGGGCGCTGTTTCATCACGAACCAACGCTACACATGCGCACGTCTTCTCATCCGTGTAAAAAGGATGTTTGGCATCATGTCTGTCTCTGTGGGCGGGAGGTGTCATCACAGCTTCAGATGTGAGGAACAACACAGGACATTGTTGATGCAGCAAGACTGTGTTTGTTTTGGACAAATTTGCCTTTTTGTAATTCAATTCAATTCAATTCAATTCAAATTTTTTTTACAGCCGTAACATGACTAAACAAAGCATACATGAGCCATTGGTCCAAAGGGGGCGGGAAAACCACTGTCCATATGTGCATAAATGTTCTTTAATGTCCCAGATAATCGCTGTCCGTAGACCCTCTGCTCCCACGGACAGACAGACTATGTCCAGGACTGAGGCTGTGGATCCAGGACTGAGGCTGTGGATCCAGGACTGAGGCTGTGGATCCAGGACTGATGCTTTAGATCCAGGACTGAGGCTTTAGATCCAGGACTGAGGCTGTAGATCCAGGACTGAGGCTTTAGATCCAGGACTGAGGCTGTAGATCCAGGACTGAGGCTGTAGACCTAGGACTGAGGCTGTAGACCTAGGACTGAGGCTGTAGACCCAGGACTGAGGCTGTAGATCCAGGACTGAGGCTGTAGACCCAGGACTGAGGCTGTAGATCCAGGACTGACCAGGACTGAGGCTGTAGACCCAGGACTGAGGCTGTAGACCCAGGACTGAGGCTGTAGATCCAGGACTGAGGCTGTAGATCCAGGACTGAGACTGTGGATTCAAGCTTTAAAGAAACAACATCAAGAGTACATAAAGTATGGATTGGTAGTGGGTATGAAAGGGTAATGTCAGTTCTGAGAGTTGGTTCGTAGCCTGATGTAATGTTGCATATTTTTCTGTATATCTCTGTGGTGGATGGGGACCTATGGCCTACACAGGTGGACAGACGCAAGACAAAATAGAACAAATTATCTGGCCTTGTGGAAGTCACAAGGAGTAGAAGAACTTTGTTGTTTAAGTTAACTGGCGCCTGGGGTTTGGCCTTTTCATAATGACGTAAATTTCAATATATATTGTATCTGCATATCCTGTTCTGTCTGAAATTAGCTACCATTTTGTGAATAAAGCAGCCAGGCGGCTTTGTCGTACCAAGATCGCTTTTTGTCTGACTCTGATTCTTCAAATCTCTCTCTCTGTCCATCTGTCTGTATCATAGACTGTATATATTTGTCTGTATACAGGAGAGAGGATCATGCTCCAGCTTCCACACTTCCCACCACCGCCTGTTGCACTCGGACCTGAACGATAATAATAATACTAAAACCATTATAGGACTATTTTTTGGTCTTCCATTTCAAATTCGCCGATACCTTATTTTGCCCACAGGTATTTGTGCGGTGCCAAATGACCCCAAGGGTTGAAATCACCTGTGAACGGCTAACGTTGTTATGTAAATAAGGCCATTATCACAGGCTGCGCTGAAGTCGCTAAACCACTTTACTTTCCATCTTCAGGAGAGGGGGAGGATTAGTGCAAATGAGTTTAACTAATGTCAAAACATAATAATGAAGTTAAATAAAAGAAAAACATTGCACAATTGAAAGAAAATAAATATGCTACTTAACTAAATCTTTACATTTTCTACTGCATGTAATTGTTACTAGCATCTTAAATCTTACTGTCCCACATGTGAAGTCGCTAAACCACTTCACCATCTTGGGGAAAGATCAACACAGGTTTTTCTTTTGTTGGTTTTATTGATTTTAAATGCTACAAAAATAAGAAAAATGCAAATAATTACAAAAGATATACAGAATATTCTCAGGGTGCACACTTCTTGCACTGTCTCTCTTCTGCACTGTCCACACGTGTATCTGCAGCAGTCCACACATTGCATCGAGGCGTGGTTCTTCTTGCACCGATGCTTCACCTGACACAGGGCTCTCGTTCCGGGTGTGGACGGCTGTTTCCGAAGCATTTCTTCCCTTTGTTCCTTCTTCGCAGCAACGTGACAGTGAGCCAATTCTCTTGCAAGCTCCACCAGAAACTTCACCCGTCTCTCCTGCTTCCCGGTGCATGCTTGATAAAGAACATGTGCGTTCAGTGCTGCCATATCGATCATGTTATAGAACACGGCGACCGGCCAGCGGCGTGTTCCTGAGCGGACGCTGTACTCCCGCAGCATCTGCTCCATCTCATCCACGCCGCGCTTCGTGGTGTTGTACAGGGTGACAGTGTTTGGCTTCCTTTTGGTGGTATCTTCCGTCTGAACGAGGCTGTGCATGCTGCTGAGAACGTAGACAGCCTTCTTCCGTTTGGGAGCGTACACTGTGATCGTCGCTCCCGCGGTCGAAAACAACTCAGTGGTGAATTCTTTGCGGTCCATACGTTTTGTGGATTGAGGAATTTCCCGGCGATTCTTGTTGACTGCGCCGAGGATGGTAGTTTTCCGTTCAAGCAGTCGTTGTGCAAGTGGTAGTGATGTAAAGATATTGTCCGTGGTCACATTCCTGCCCTTGTCCAGGAATGGTTTCATCAGCCTCATCACAACAGTTTCAGACTCACCGCTGGAACGACTGGAGTTCTTGCCAAGACATGGGAGGACGTTGCAAATGTACTTGGATTTCAAGTCGCAGGCCACCCAAAACTTGATCCCAAACTTGTCAGGTTTAGTAGCGATGTACTGCAGGAAACAGCAGCGGGTCTTTGATGGGAAAAGCTGTTCCCCAACGGTGATGTGTCGACCGGGATTGTACAAAGTGCTGCAGTTGGTGACAAACGATCCCCACACATCAGACATTGCAGCAAACGTATCAGTCTTTGCCCGGTCTTCGCGGGTGAACTTGTCGTCGAAGCGCAGGTGTTGCATGATGTTTTGGAAGCGGTTTCGGGACATGATTCCAATGATATGTGGGTTTCCCAGGTGTGCAGACCAGCAGTCCCGGAGAGATGGCCTTTTAGTGAGACCACGCAAAATGACAATTGCTATAAATGCCATTAGTTCTGCAAGGTCCATGAACCAATCGCTGTGCTCCGTTTGCGTTGCGTGTTGAGTGGTCCATCGTTGAATGGTACGAAGCATTTCAGGAGTAATGAAACACAGAAAGCTCTGAAGGCGACTTGCAATATTACTTTTGGCCTTAGCCGTTGGCTCTCCATCTGCAGCATAAGCTTCTATTGGAGTGAAATCCAGCGGCTTCCCCAGCTGCTCTTCGTGCCACACCGTGCCATCTTTCGCTGTCTCAGTCTCTTCAGTACCAAATCGAGCTCTCTTTTTTGGCTGAGGAGCAGGTTCCTCATCTGCAGAATGAACAGAATATAAATATTAACATTGGATGAAAATATAACACAGAAAGACACTCCACTTTACCATTTTAGTATTTTTATGGCCTAAAATTCATATTGCAGTATAATTTGGGACACAGGCGGTAAACGGTACTGTATATATTGCGGTATAATTTGTTGTGTGAATTTTAATAGTTCTTGCATAAAATAGTCAAGATTGTTTCTTATTTATATCTTAGAATCTAATATATATTTTTTGATTTTGAAGAAGTCTTCAGCAGTTAGATATGGTCATTATTTATAGTGTCTGAGAGTTTTGTGCGTGTACGTGGCTTCAGTAAAGGCTAAAGCATGGACGTGATCTGGGCTAATGCTGTTAGGCTTTCTCTATTGTTGGCCAATTTGTTATCGCATACCACTTATATCGTCCAGCCCTAAAATGAAATATAAAAATGGAAATAATATCATTAAAAATCGAACCTGAAGAGAGCTCAGAGTCGGAGTCCGAGGACAGCTGCAGGTGGAGCTCCTCTCCGTCCGAGTCTATGGGGTCCACCTCACTCAGGATCATGTCCAGCGCCTGTTGAGTGATGAGTCTTCTCTGCATCTTGGTTCTTTGGAGGACGTTTGCTCACCACAGAAGTCTTCAGGGCAATGAAGTAGTCAGGCTCTGTGCAGTGCAGTATATATACATCTCAGCACAACAGGCGTGACCACTCATTTTAGCATAAGCTATGGCCTGTATATGTGCCACTTCACACCTCGTGGCCCCAAACAAACCCTCCCATCTGCCTTTGTTTCTACTGATGATACTGGAGGGAGCAGATAAAAGTGAACACTTCTAAAGTAATTGTAGTTTAGCTTTTTGTCCTCTACCTCAAGACTACCATTTTTACCCAGTTGCTTACAAAATCTGAGTTAAGTCTCTTCCAATGTTCAGGCTTTTGCTTTCCACAGTGATTAAATAATGCAGTATTGCTATTGTTGTTTCTTTAACAAAATAATAAAGAGTGATTTTACAACTTTCTGTAGTTCAAAATGTGTTGTGTTTGTATATTTAAAGTAGAATAACCCAATTTGACTATTCACACTTGAGTCCAAAACTCTTCTGCACTTTGTGTTATGGTGTGGACTTTTCCTGGTTTTATTTGATATTTTGGTTCTTCAGTGTTGCTCATGTCTGTTCACCTGTTTGTGTGTGTGTGTGTGTGTGTGTGTGTGTGTGTGTGTGTGTGTGTGTGTGTGTGTGTGTGTGTGTGTGTGCGTGTGTCCCTGTGTGTGTATTTTGTCCCTGTTTTGTCCTGGTTTAAATTCTGTATCCTGGATTTTGTCTTTGTTTATTAGATCTTGTATTTTGGCAGTCCTGCATTCTGGGTCCTTCCTCCTTTTCAAAATGTGACAAAAACACCTATAGTGCGTATTGTTGACACATAATATAGAAATATACTCTTAACACATATACTTGAACATCTTTAAAAAACAACATTGTATAATAAAACTAAATGTCTTTCGGTAAAAAGTGATTTTTTTTAGATAGGAGGTTTTATAGCTTGTTGCTTATAGAAAAAAAAGAATCCTTTGAGTCGTCTCTCGCACCTCTACAAAGCCCACCCCAGCCCCCAAACTTGCAAATCAAGACATGCAAATGCGGCGTCTGTCTCTGTTTCTACCCAAAAGATGGCACTGGCTGCTCACCTGTTTGCGTGACTACACAGTAATAACACAATAATACAGGCTTTCATTTCCCCATCATGTGAGGACGCAGCGGGGCAGAATGCGTATATACACCCTCTCCAGACCTTTCCCTCCTCTCTCTCGCTCCTCTCTCGCTCCTCTCCTCCACGCTCCGCATCCCCTCTCTCCGCAGCTCTGACGCGTCCTGTTCCTGCAGTATACGTACGCGCAGACGCTGGCTGGGCATGGCACGCTCTGTCGTTTTACGCGTGCCTCCAATCCAATCCAATGCAACGCCAAAACGAAAAAAACCGCACGGGCGCAGGCGTGATTAGTGACAGGGAGTGAAGAGAGAGAGGGGAGAGGGAGGAGAGAGAGGGGTGGGTCGTGCCAACTCGTGCCTCCGCATTGAGAAGTAAACACGGCAGCCTGGAGACGAGATGCAAGCAAGATGTGACCGATTAGCCAGTCTGGTTGCCCGGTTTCTCCCGTGGCTCAACTCGGTCCAGCGGTGCGTAAAGGTGGGGTGAATCCAAAACCGCTGCAGCTGCTCTTACTGCCCCTACTGCTGCTGCTGTGATTCTACCGCGGGAATGGTGCGCTTCTACCTGCTGCCCTTCTGCATCCTCTCTCGGTTAAAAGCCACCAACTCCCTCGACGCAAGCTCTTTTCCCAACACCGATCCGAGGCTGCAGCGATAAAGAAGAAAAAGAAACCAAAGATGAAATTTCCAAGTGAGAATCCTCGCAAACCGGGTACTATGAACCCACCACCAGGTACACTACACACACCAGCGCACTTGATCTGTCTCTATGCGCGTTTGCACTTTCTGTCTCTCACCAACAATGACAACATACTTAAAATGACGTGAGATTGGTGACGAGTGAGGCTGGGAATGGCTAATTTTTTTTTTGAAAAACGTCTCTGCAACCAGACAAATGGATGAACACAACACATGCAGATGTCTTGTCTTGCTTCTATTCCAGCTTCTTCATGCTTCACGAATATATACAGGCAATACATGATGGTGTCTGTGTTACAATGGCACAGACAAACACATAGATAGATAAATAATTTGGAGGTTTTTGGCGTGACCTCATCCCTATATATTCTTCCCCACTGGTTCTGTCACTCTACTGGGGAAAGCCCAAGATGCAGCCAATACACGGGGAATAGAAATGATAATAAATAATAAATAGTATATGTCCTGGAGGTTTCGCATGGGGAGAGTAGACAGTAGAATATGTCCAGACAGTTGCAGGAGCTGAGCACTGCAGTCATCCCATAATAAATATATATAAAAAAGAGTTGAGAGATTGGCGCCTGCAGTGGAAGCCTGTCTCCATTACCTCATCCTCATGTGCCTCACGTCAGCTCTGAGGGAGACAGCAGCAGGTGAAGTTAGCGGGGGTCTGACCTTCCATCACGGATCAGAGTCTGCGTCCTGGAGGGGGGAGACCGGGGGAGACCAGGAGAGACCGGGGGGAGACAGGGGGAGACCAGGGGGAGATCGGGGGAGACCGGGGGAGACAGGGGAGACGGGGGGAGACAGGGGGAGACAGAGGGAGACCGGGGGGAGACAGAGGGGAGACCCGGGGGAGACAGGGGGAGTCAGAGGGGAGACCGGGGGGAGACAGAGGGGAGACCCGGGGGAGACAGGGGGCAGACCGGGGGAAGACAGGGGGAGACAGGGGAGACCGGGGGAAGACAGGGGGAGACAGAGGGAGACCGGGAGACAGAGGGAGACAGAGGGGAGACCGGGGGCGACAGGGGGAGACAGAGGGGAGACCGGGGGGAGACAGAGGGGAGACAGAGGGGAGACCGGGGGGAGACAGGGGAGACTGCTTTATCACTCCTCGTTGCCCAGAGCGGTGTCACGAGTCCCCTCAGAAGCAGCTGTTATGTAAGACCCGGATAAAGGGGAGACGGTGAGGAGCAGAGTGTTCTTCCGTGCACCCACACATCTGAGAATAGTTTCATCATTTGCTCTAAGCTCCAGATTTAGAGAATTGATAAAAATATGTTTAGGCGGCGCACGGCAGGGAGAGTTTGTTTGGATACAGCTCATACACGAGGAAGCTCAAAGTGCAGACAAAACAAGAAAAAAAATCATGAATATTCACAGCACATTTAAAAAGAGTGAAGTTAAAATCCCTGAAGAAGCCTGTCTCACATTTTCAGGGAGACTGTTTCAGATTTTTGCTGCATAAATCTGAAACGCTGCCTCCACATGTTTAGTCCTGACTCTGGGACCAGCAGGAGGCCAGTCCCTGTGCTCCTCAGAGTCCCAGCAAGAGGCCAGTCCCTGTGCTACTCAGAGTCCCAGCAAGAGGCCAGTCCCTGTGCTCCTCAGAGTCCCAGCAGGAGACCAGTCCCTGTGCTCCTCAGAGTCCCAGCAGGAGGCCAGTCCCTGTGCTCCTCAGAGTCCCAGCAGGAGACCAGTCCCTGTGCTCCTCAGAGTCCCAGCAGGAGGCCAGTCCCTGGACTTTGGAGAGACTTGTAACAAACAGTTCTAAAGTCTATTCTCTGAACCACAGGACCAGAAACCAGAGACCAGGGCTAAATGTGATGGTACTTCCTGGTTTTATTCAAATGTGCAAAGTTAGAAAAAACTGTTTGGATCAGATAAAACTACATGTATGAGCAGGACTGAACACAGGAGGTGAAGTTAAGTCCCATAAATCCATAAATCCAAACGCTTTAGTCTCAACACATCTGAAGACGTCTGCAGTGATCTGCTCTGGTGCAGGACACGTTTATCCCCGAACGACCCGTGTGTGAAAGCCGTGTCACAGTTAGAAAAACTTTTACTGACTTTTAATGAGCCCAAAGTGAAAGTGTGATTATTGTGAGTTTAGTTTCCTCTGGTCTCCCGCACTGTCACTGTGTGGAGTCAGCCCTGGACCTGTGCATTGGTGGTGCAGTGTCCTGGGTTCGAATCCACCTCCAGGCCTTTCTGTGTGGAGTTTGCATATTCTCTCCGTGTTTGCGTAGGTCTCCTCCGGGTGCTCCGGTTTACCTAATACCCTGTACAATAGTTCTGTGCCTCCTGTAGACCTGCTCCATCTCTGTGAAGCGTGAGAGATAAATGTTCATAACAAATGTAAAGCGCTTTGTGACTGTGGTCTGGGAAAGGTGCTATATAAATAAACTTTACTTACTCTCAGGTCTCTGGTCTCTGGTCTCTGGTCTCTGGTCTGGCTCCTGTGGTTCAGAGAATAGACTTTAAATCAGCTCTGTTTGTTACAAGTCTCTCCAAAGTCCATCTGTGACATGTTAGTGACATATGAACCAACTCTGAGGAGCACAGGGGTTGAACTCCTGCTGGGACTCTGAGAACCACAGGGACTGACCTCCTGCTGGGACTCTGAGGAGCACAGGGACTGGCCTCCTGCTGGGACTCTGAGGAGCACAGGGACTGGCCTCCTGCTGGGACTCTGAGGAGCACAGGGACTGGCCTCCTGCTGGACTCTGAGGACCACAGGGACTGACCTCCTGCTGGGACTCTGAGGAGCACAGGGACTGGCCTCCTGCTGGACTCTGAGGAGCACAGGGACTGGCCTCCTGCTGGGACTCTGAGGAGCACAGGGACTGGCCTCCTGCTGGGACGCTGAGGAGCACAGGGACTGGCCTCCTGCTGGACTCTGAGGAGCACAAGGACTGGCCTCCTGCTGGGACTCTGAGGAGCACAGGGACTGGCCTCCTGCTGGACTCTGAGGAGCACAGGGACTGGCCTCCTGCTGGACTCTGAGGAGCACAGGGACTGGCCTCCTGCTGGGACGCTGAGGAGCACAGGGACTGGCCTCCTGCTGGGACGCTGAGGAGCACAGGGACTGGCCTCCTGCTGGGACTCAGAGGAGCACAGGGACTGGCCTCTTGCTGGTCCCAGAGTCAGGATTAAACATGAGGAGGCAGCGTTTCAGATTAATTGGGTTTAATTCTGGAACAGTCTTCTTGAAAATGTGAGACAGGCGTCTTCTCTGACTATTTTCAAATCCAGGTTATAAACAGTTTCGCTGGAACATCTGAAGGATTGTATCTTTACTTTTTTAAACGTTCTTTGATTATAATTGTTTTGAACGACTTTAATGATTCTGGTTCTGTTCCACTTTGGGTTGGCTTGTGTATGAACTGTGTCTTGTTTCCATGGAGACGGCTGTTTTACGCCATAATAACCAATACAAAACGCCACTTTTAACTGATTCGATGCAAAATGTGTTACTTTATTCTGCTCCATTTGTTCATAGTGATGCAACAAAATACCACAACAATCCAGAAAGTACAACATTAACACATCCTATGAGAAAATAACAAATACAAATGAAAAAAATTGAATAAAACATTTGTGCATTTTATTCATATTGAAGCCTCAAAGTGCTACGGATTAAAATACAAATATCACAAACGTCAAAACAAAGCAAAAGAATCAAAAATACATGAAAAAGAAAGATGAAGGGGTTAAAAGCTCAAATCCCTTAAATCTTAAATAAACTCCAGATTAGACACTTTTGTTCAGAATCAAAGCTTTGTTCATGTTTTTGACGCTGTGTTTTTGTGACGATCCTCTCAGTCCCAGTTCACACCAACCTGGTCTCGCCGAAGAAGGTGCAGCCCGGGATGCTCCAGTCCAGCCTGGTCCACGCCAGCCTGGCCACCATGCAGAACCCCATGGGCTGCTCGGTGCCGCGCCTGTCTGTGTCCCGCCCGGCCAGCGTGGTGGCCAGCATCGAGGCGGGGCCGGACGGAACCGTGGTCTTCACCTTCATGAAGCTGAAGACGGTGCTGGCGGTGTTCGTGGTGGTGGTGCTGTACCTGGTGGGGGGTGGCCTGGTGTTTCAGGCGCTGGAGCAGCCCTTCGAGGACAACCAGAAAATCACCATCACGGCGGAGAAGGCGGCGTTCCTGCAGAGACACCCGTGTGTGAGCCCCGGCGAGCTGGAGGACATCATCCAGGTGAGACCAGAGTGAGAGCGGAGACCAGAAAGAGAGACCAGAGAGAGACCAGAGAGAGAGAGACCAGAGAGAGACCAAACAGAGACCTGAGATAGACCTTAGAGAGATAAGAGAGCGAGACCAGAGATAGAGAGAGAGTCCTTTTTACTTGGCGAGGGACCACTGCATAATAAAATCGTCCTTGCAGAAGCCACGGAGCAGCGATAGAATCAGTTCTGTCACCGGTGCAGAGTGTGGACCGTGAGTGACTTGGACATCTGGCTACACGAATCCAATTATTCTGATCAGACCCTGAGGATGTAACAAAATGTAAATCTCTCAACACAGAATGATCACAGCTCAAAAGCAGAAATGAGATTGTGTTCAGTAGGATGCTGTAATCAGTTTTCTTAGATAGATTTGGAAACTTTATTCCATCATTAATAACTCAATACTACAACTAGAATCTCCAAATACTACCATTATCATCTACCCTGGTCTTACCATGTGTAAACTCTGGTCCGTGATCATTTCCTACATGTACGTCTGGTCTTACCATGTGTAAACTCTGGTCCATGGTCATCTCCTACATGTACGTCTGGTCTTACCATGTGTAAACTCTGGTCCATGATCATCTCCTACATGTACGTCTGGTCTTACCATGTGTAAACTCTGGTCCATGATCATTTCCTACATGTACGTCTGGTCTTACCATGTGTAAACTCTGGTCCATGATCATTTCCTACATGTACGTCTAGTCTTACCATGTGTAAACTCTGGTCCATGATCATTTCCTACATGTACGTCTGGTCTTACCATGTGTAAACTCTGGTCCATGGTCATTTCCTACATGTACGTCTAGTCTTACCATGTGTAAACTCTGGTCCATGATCATCTCCTACATGTACGTCTGGTCTTACCATGTGTAAACTCTGGTCCATGGTCATCTCCTACATGTACGTCTGGTCTTACCATGTGTAAACTCTGGTCCATGATCATCTCCTACATGTACGTCTGGTCTTACCATGTGTAAACTCTGGTCCATGATCATTTCCTACATGTACGTCTGGTCTTACCATGTGTAAACTCTGGTCCATGATCATCTCCTACATGTACGTCTGGTCTTACCATGTGTAAACTCTGGTCCATGATCATCTCCTACATGTACGTCTAGTCTTACCATGTGTAAACTCTGGTCCATGATCATCTCCTACATGTACGTCTGGTCTTACCATGTGTAAACTCTGGTCCATGGTCATCTCCTACATGTACGTCTGGTCTTACCATGTGTAAACTCTGGTCCATGATCATCTCCTACATGTACGTCTGGTCTTACCATGTGTAAACTCTGGTCCATGATCATTTCCTACATGTACGTCTGGTCTTACCATGTGTAAACTCTGGTCCATGATCATCTCCTACATGTACGTCTGGTCTTACCATGTGTAAACTCTGGTCCATGATCATCTCCTACATGTACGTCTGGTCTTACCATGTGTAAACTCTGGTCCATGATCATTTCCTACATGTACGTCTGGGTCTGATCCTAGTGGCTGCAGTTTCCTTGGTTGAATCCTCTCCGACCAATCAGAGAGCGGGGGAGGCGGGTGTTGTAGGTCGGTGTTTGTGCTGAATTTGCTGGTTGTAGTTTGTCGGAGAATGCGATAGTAAAATAATCTGTTCTGGTTCAATCCAAATATCAAGAAACTGAAGCCGGAGCAAGTGGAATGTCCCTACGGGCTGCGTTAAGTGGCAAAGGAGATGGCTAAAGCTAGGCTAAATGCTAAAGCTAGGCTAAATGCTAAATGTCTCACTCACTCGGGAGGCCAGGCCATCTCCCGTACAATCTTCACACTAATATACAGCCTACTCTGGCCTGTGTTGTTTCAGATAAACAAGAACACAGATGAAGAAGTTTTTATAATTCTGTGTTTATTAAGGACAACAGACACTTTGACATTCAACAAGAACACAAGAAACATTGCGTTGCCATCGGCAGCAGTCAATATTGTCTATTATCAATAAATAAAGAGCGCTAAAACGATTAGAAATTACATTCAAATCAATGGAGCGTTTTTTCTGCTGCTGTGAGGAGCCGTATAATAATACATTTATTTATATAGCACCTTTCTGAGCTCTGAGTTTACAGTAATGAGTGGATAAGTCCCATTCAGAAAAACAAATATTCCAATTCATTTCAATGTATTTTAATATCGCCCTAAATAGCAACAGCAGTCGTCTGGGTGGACTTTACAAAGTTGTCGATTCTCCAACAACAGATCGGAGAATCAAATAGATCAAACACATAGAAGCCATTCCTTAGCAAGCGTCAATCTTCTTAAATATTTCTCACATTCTTACTTATGGTGTGTAAAGAGGCCAGACCAGACCAGAGTCCAGACGAGATCAGAGACCAGACCACACCGGGGGCGGCACGGTGGCTGAGTGGTTAGCCCTATCACTTCTCAGCAAGAACGTCCTGGATTCGAATTCCAGGAACAGGGTCTTTCTGAGTGGAGTTTGCATGTTCTCCCCGTGCCTGTGAAGGTTTCCTCCAGTTTCCCTAACACTAAAAAAAACATGAATCCTTTATCCGGAGATAAATGTGGACCTTTACCTTTAGACAAGACCAGAGACCAGACCAGACCAGACCAGATAGAGACGAGACCACACACACAGTTAAACCTCAAAAATGTAAATGTGACTGATGCAGAATGAATGAAATGTAGAGAATGCTAAAGTGTTGTGTAGAGAGCGGATGGACGCACTTGTAAAGGATCTCTCTGTAACCGGGAAGTGCAGATGGAAAACTAGCATCTCGCTATAATCTGGTGCAGAACAACAAACTGTTTCTGTCCCTGTGAGCTTCATTTCTCTGTGTACTGCCCCTTCAATACAGTGGTCTGTGAAGATGCCAAACCGAAATGAATGTAGAGAATAATCAATGCACTGCTTTGACCCTGCACACACACACACACACACACACACACACACACACACACTTTCTGTTTACGGCCACATTCTCCGAGCCAACAACACTGAACAGAGTAATCCATACATAACAAAGCCCGCATCAACCAACCGCCTGAATAAAAGAGCTGTCCCAAACCAAACATAGACCGGTCCCTGGCCCGTCACTGCAGCTCCGCACACGGCTGGACTGTTCACGGCTGCCTCTCTCGCCTCTCGTAAAGCACCAGGACAATGGGAAGAGGCAGCAGTGCGTTCGATGCTTATTGAAGTGAGCAGCAGCAGCGGATAATGGACGGATCATGCAGTATGTGCTCCGTATAAAAGCAGAGCCGAGAGCCGTGAGTGGACGCGCCGCATAAGTGCTGCACGGTCAATGTTAGCGCAGATGCTAATTGTGTTACGGCGATCAGGTGTCAAATCTCCTGGAAACACCTGCGAGAGAGAGGCTGCTGCAGATGGAGCTGTACAAGGTTGAAGTTGGGAGGAAAACACACTCTGAGCAATGCAGAAAGTGATGAGAAATAAGTCAAAAATTGCTAAAATTAGGCAAAATGTATCGCACCCGAAAGGATCAACTCAAGAAGTGTATGTGGATTTTTATTTATGCCTTTTTGATTTTATTCTGCTTTAGCTTGTTTGAGTCAAAGCGATTTCCTTGTGTTGGACTTCTTGTGACTCACATGGCAATAAAAGGATTCTGATTCTGAAAAAGAATCCAAAACCAAGTCCAGAATCCAACCCAAAAGAACTGAAAACTGAAAAATAAGTGCTTATCTGTTTTTGATGATTGTCAAGGCCCACAGAAAATTATGGGCTATGACTATGTGGAAGTTTGAAACCAGATTCTGAAAGACTGGATTCTCTACTTTAATCAGCAAAAAATAGCTATTTTTTTTCTCCCTTAATCCCCAGTCAAAATGAATCCTAGTTTGAGCACATTCTGACTGAAAACAAGATTTTCCAACGGGACAAACGGCAAAATGATAAAAAAAAAGTATCTCCCTTGGAATGAGGAAAATATAGCAACAGTTCTGGTCAAAAAACTGGTTTGGTTTGGTTTGGTCCTGATCCTGATCCTACACACTGGGGCAGTCTTGCACAGTTGTTCCAATGTGGTTTTACTGCAAATGGCAAATTAATTCTTGTATTTTATATCTTGTTCAGTATCAGTTCATTTTACGAGGCTCTTGGAACGCACTTGTTTACATTTCTGCTCAGTTTAATTCACTAATGGATGAAAACCACATAAATTTCACACGTTGAAGCCGCGGCTGCTTCCAAAGCTGTGGTCCCGCACACCCAGAATCTTCAAATAGTAGCTCAGTTGGTAGAGCGTTGGCCTTTGAGCCAGAGGGTCGACTCCCACTGTCTGCTGTCGTTGTGTCCTTGGGCAAGACACTTAACCTCTGGGAACAGCAGGTGCCACAGTGGGGCGGCTGCGGCTGTAAAGTGCCAAACTGCTGTTGTGTCCTTAGGCAAGACACTTCACCCACATTGCCTAGAATGAGTCTAGTATTTGTGTGAATGGTTGGTGGTGGTGAGAGGGGCCAATGGCACAGACTGGTTGCCTCGCTTCTGTCAGTGTGCCCCAGGGCAGCTGTGGCTACAGTAGTTTATCACCACCGTGTTTGGAGAGAGAGAATAATGACACATGTGAAGCGTCTTTGAGTGTCCAAAAAAACGTATAAAAAGTAATATATCCATCCATCCATCCATCCATTTTCTACCCCTTAATCCATTTCTGGGTCAGGGGGTGTCAGTCAGAGATGCCACCCAAGTCTCATAGCACCAGCCCCTCACTGACCCTCTGCAGGTGGTGAGTCCACAGGAGGACGGCTGCTCTCTGACTGTGAGCATAGCCTTGATCTTTCAGTGGGGGCTTTGGGCAAAGTGGGGTTAAGGGTCTTGCCCAAGGACACAACGACAGCAGTCATCAGTGGGAGTCGGTGGAGAAGGTGTAGAGGTGGGAAAAAGTAATATAGTCAATAGTAAAGTAAGTAATCTTTATGTACTGTATCTACCGCCTTTCTCAGACCAGAGTCACAAAGCGGTTTATAATTGTTATTTTTGGGCATTTGTCTCTCACTCCACACAAAGATGGGAGCGGGGCCAGTACAGGAGGCACATGCACAGTCCTATTGTTCATGTTTGGGGGTAGGGGAAACTGGAGTGCCCGGAGGAAACCTACACAGACGCGGGTATAACATGCAAACTCCACTCAGAAAGGCCATGGGGGGATTCGAACCGGGATTCGAACCCAGGACCTTCTTGCTGAGAGGCGAGAGTGCTATCCACTCAGCCACCGTGCCGCCCAATTATTAAATTCACATAGTGATGGCTGCAAATCCTAGCTCCAGCTCTAGCTGAACCTTCTGTTTTTGGTTTAGATTTCAGATGAGTAAGTAAGTAATATTCCGATATATTATTACAGATACCAATACCGATGTTTAAAATAACAACTTGGCCGATATTTCTGTCTATTTGTTATTTGTGTACATATATATATTTCTTGGCGGTTTCAGTTTCCCGTTATCCTTCAGCTTCATGCAGTTGCTGTCTCCGCCCCCTTCCTCTCAAACGTCCAATCAAATTCTTTGTTAAATGATTTTCTCGCAGATCTTGAAATCTCACTGAACTCGTGCAAACTACAAACACTGATCTTTTATCTGATTCTGTCAAAAATACCGCCGCCATCTTCTTTGTATCTTCTTCTCAGGAAAGTGCACAGACACTTTCTCTTTGCACGCGCCTACGATCGCCAATGTCATTTTTTATTTGCTGATGTTGGTTAAGGCAAACCTCGGTGCATCCCTATAGTCTGAGATGACCTGTGGTACTCTGTCTTTCTCCCTGTTGCCTTGGTTACGACAACCGTTTCCCACACAGAAAGACTGCTTTTCTGCTGCATTATTCTCCACTACATCTGCACACGTCTCAGAACATTAGCATTGTGACTCAGAATCAGTGAAGATTTACACTGTTCTAACGGAGAGATGTTCCTCCTGTCCCTCAGAGAACTTTCGTCAGCTGCAACCCAGACATTAAAGTTTAAATTATAAGAACGTTGTCATCTTTAGTCCCTGTTTTATTTTGTTTATACTGTTCCCTGTGTCTTCTACATCCTGTTCTGTGGATTGCCGGGCCTAATGTGTGCCACCTGTGTCTCCCGGTGAAATCCCCTGAGCTCCTGTTGTCAGTACATTTTGTTTATTCCCCAGTTCTTTCTCTGCTGCTGTGTGTTCACTGCAGAAAAAGGATTAGATATGAGGCAAAAATCGCTTGAATCGAGTGTTTTTTTAAATTCTTTTTATTTTTTATCTTAATCTGAGTTCATTGTGACTGTGTTAAAACAAGATTCTCTCATTCCAAAGGAGACATTTCTGTATAATTTTGCTTTGTCCCGTTGGAGAATCTTGTTTTAATGATCAGAATATTCTCAAATTAAGCCATTTTTGACCTATTTTTCAGCATTGCAGCGTCACATTCAGTTGGCTTCGTTTTGGATTCTTGTTTATTGAATATTCTCTTTGTGCAGAGTTGTATTGGAGCTCCTTGTTTGTGGCAGACGTCTATAAAAAAAAACCAACAGCATTTAGATAAACAAGCAAATGTCTGCAAGAGAAAATGGTGGTTTATGGGCCCTCTGCGAGCCCAGCCTTGGCACTGCTTCTGAATTATGTAGGAGGCTGAAGGAGACTGAAGGAGTGCAGGTCTAAATGGAGAAAACGGGTAGAAAGAGGACAGTCCAGATGGTTGGAGCCAGAACGCTGTGGGCGGAGTCTCGCTGGGACAGACTGTGGCTCATGAAAACACTTTAGTGACTAATAAACTCCAGTGTCAGACTTTGTAAAGGTGATGTAGGTGTGAAGCCGGCTCCAGGGGAAGTACGTTTATCCTGATGCATCAACTGGAATCAGGGACGTTGATAGAAATGTACACAGGCTTGATAAAGGGACTGCGATGCCTTGAGCCGCTGCGTTTCATTTACTCATGGTCGGGTCTGTTTACTTTTATTCCAAGCTTTTAAACAGGAATCAATTCTTGTAATGCACAGAAAATACATATTATACATTACACAAACATATTCATGCACATTAAGGAGGGTCTAAGGACAGTGGTGATGATCCAGGACTCGATATTTCATGATTTATGGACAGTTATCAACATTTACGGACATCGGTCTGTGCTCCATATGGATCAATGGCTCTGTGTGTTTTTATCACTGCATTTCTTGAGTTAGAACGGTTTGATTCTCTGATCTGTGTTGGTGAATCGACAGCTTTGTGTTGATGCTATGAGCAGTAGATTGGTTAAAAACACAAGTTGCATTTTCAGATTAATGGTTATTCTGGTTTAACAGTGTTCCATATCCAACACCTTTTTGTGAAGTTCAATTCAATTCAATAACATGTATTTTCGTATGAATCACAACAGTAGTTATCTCGGAGGATAGCTGTTGATTTTCCAACACAGATCAGAGAATCAGTCAGTCCAAACATAGGAAATACAATGATACAAAACACACAGAGCCATTGGTCCATAAGGGGCGGAGACAAATGTCCATAAATGTTGAATGTCAAGTGTCCTGGATCATCCCACTGTCCTTGGACCCTCAACACAACAGACGAGAACGACCGGAATAAACTCCAGGTGCGATTCGTCACTTTCATATAGTGCCATCTGCCCCCTCTGCCGCCGTGTCTGCCCTGTCTGCCCCCTCTGCCGGCGTGTCTGCCCTGTCTGCCGCCGTGTCTGCCCTGCCCTGTCTGCCATGTCTGCCGTGTCTGCCGTGTCTGCCCTGTCTGCCATGTCTGCCGTGTCTGCCGTGTCTGCCGTGTCTGCCGTGTCTGCCGTGTCTGCCGTGTCTGCCCTGTCTGCCGTGTCTGCCCTGTCTGCCCTGTCTGCCCTGTCTGCCGTGTCTGCCGTGTCTGCCCTGTCTGCCCTGTCTGCCGTGTCTGCCGTGTCTGCCCTGTCTGCCGTGTCTGCCCTGTCTGCCGTGTCTGCCGTGTCTGCCCTGTCTGCCGTGTCTGCCCTGTCTGCCCTGTCTGTCTGGTCCCGCTGAGTCCCACCTGGATCTACAGCCGGTCCATCCGTGGGAGCAGATCCCAGAATAGGCCTCTCCCTCTGATGTCACTCACATCTTTCCGACTGTTGTATCTGAGTCATTCCTGAACATTTAGAAGTATCTGTGGACTCCTTCTGGACCAATGTCTTCATTATTATTGCATTTCCTTTGTTCAAACCGTTGGATTCTCTGATCTGTTTTTGGCTCTCTCTCTCATCCTCTCCTCTTTCTCTCCCTCATCCTCTCCTCTCTCTCTCCCTCATCCTCTCCTCTCTCTCTCCCTCATCCTCTCCTCTCTCTCTCTCTCATCCTCTCCTCTCTCTCTCCCTCATCCTCTCCTCTCTCTCTCCCTCATCCTCTCCTCTCTCTCTCTCTCTCTTCCTCATCCTCTCCTCTTTCTCTCCCTCATCCTCTCATCTCTCTCTCTCTCTCTCCCTCATCCTCTCCTCTCTCTCTCTCTCTCTTCCTCATCCTCTCCTCTTTCTCTCTCTCATCCTCTCCTCTCTCTCTCTCTCTCCCTCATCCTCTCCTCTCTCTCTCCCTCATCCTCTCCTCTCTCTCTCTCTCTCCCTCATCCTCTCCTCTCTCTCTCCCTCATCCTCTCTCTCTCTCTCCCTCATCCTCTCCTCTCTCTCTCTCTCATCCTCTCCTCTCTCTCTCTCATCCTCTCCTCTCTATCTCTCTCATCCTCTCCTCTCTCTCTCTCTCTCCCTCATCCTCTCCTCTCTCTCTCCCTCATCCTCTCTCTCTCTCTCCCTCATCCTCTCCCCTCTCTCTCCCTCATCCTCTCCTCTCTCTCTCCCTCATCCTCCCCTCTCTCTCTCTCTCATCCTCTCCTCTCTCTCTCCCTCATCCTCTCCTCTCTCTCTCCCTCATCCTCTCTCTCTCTCTCCCTCATCCTCTCCTCTCTCTCTCCCTCATCCTCTCCTGTCTCTCTCCCTCATCCTCTCCTCTCTCTCTCCCTCATCCTCTCCTCTCTCTCTCCCTCATCCTCTCCTCTCTCTCTCCCTCATCCTCTCCTCTCTCTCTCTGTCTCCCTCATCCTCTCCTCTTTCTCTCTCTCATCCTCTCCTCTCTCTCTCCCTCATCCTCTCCTCTCTCTCTCCCTCATCCTCTCCTCTCTCTCGCTCTCTCCCTCATCCTCTCCTCTCTCTCTCCCTCATCCTCTCCTCTCTCTCTCCCTCATCCTCTCTCTCTCCTCTCTCCCTCATCCTCTCCTCTCTCTCTCCCTCATCCTCTCCTCTCTCTCTCCCTCATCCTCTCTCTCTCCTCTCTCCCTCAGCGCTCGGTGGATGCAGTAAACGCTGGAGTGAACCCGACGGGGGACACCTCCTATAACTCGAGTCACTGGGATCTGGGCAGTGCCTTCTTCTTCGCCGGGACGGTCATCACCACCATCGGTACGGCAACAACACATGATGAGGGAGAGAGGGAGAGAGGATGAGGGAGAAGAGAGGAGATCATTGGCTCATTCTCATTCTCATTGGCTCATTCTCATTGGCTCATTCTCATTCTCATTGGCTCATACCCATTGGCTCATGCTCATTGGCTCATTCTCATTGGCTCATTCTCATTGGCTCATTCTCATTGGCTCATTCTCATTGGCTCATACCCATTGGCTCATTCTCATTGGCTCATACCCATTGGCTCATGCTCATTGGCTCATACCCATTGGCTCATTCTCATCGGCTCATTCTCATTGGCTCATTCTCATTGGCTCATTCTCATTGGCTCATACCCATTGGCTCATTCTCATTGGCTCATACCCATTGGCTCATGCTCATTGGCTCATACCCATTGGCTCATGCTCATTGGCCCATTCTCATTGGCTCATACCCATTGGCTCATTCTCATTGGCTCATACCCATTGGCTCATTCTCATCGGTTCATTCTCATTGGCTCACGCTCATTGGCTCATTCTCATCGGCTCATTCTCATTGGCTCACGCTCATTGGCTCATTCTGATTGGCTCATTCTCATTGGCTCACGCTCATTCTCATTGGCTCATTCTCATTGGCTCACGCTCATCTGCTCATTCTCATTGGCTCATTCTCATTGGCTCACGCTCATTGGCTCATTCTCATTGGCTCACGCTCATCTGCTCATTCTCATTGGCTCATTCTCATTGGCTCATTCTCATTGGCTCATTCTCATTGGTTCATTCTCATTGGCTCATGCTCATTGACTCATTCTCCTTGTCTCGAATGAGTCCGTTGTCTGTGGTTAGTTGGTGGTTGCAGCACTGACCCATGGCACAGACTGGTGCCTGGGTGCCATGTGCCCCAGGGCAGTTGTGGCTAAACGGAGAAGCCCTTTATCACCTCTGCGTATGGAGTGTTTGAATAATGTCATGTGAAGCGTCTTTAAGCGTCCAAAAAACACTGCATAAAACCATTGCAAAGTTGACCCTAACATTAAATATCCTTCCATTTTCTTCCGCTTCATCCGTTGCCGGGTCACGGGGTTTTTTAAATACATACATTAAATATTTGTCACAATATATTTAATGTTGTTTAGAAACTACAGCCACAACAGAGCATATGGTTTGTGTTGCTTGTGTCTCTCTTCCCACTAAGCAAGCCGACGTTGAATCAACGTAATTTGAACGTCGTTGTCCGACGTAGAATATAGGTCACTGGTGGGTGCAGAATGAAAGTTTTCTCGACGTCGTTTCCCGACGTCACCTCAACCTCCAAATGTTACGTTGATGGCACGTCAATTCAAGGTTTGAATGTGGTACGGAACCGGTCGGGTCTGACGTCCTATCAACGTCTCATATGACCAAAATATTCACGTTTATATGACGTTCGTTTTCAGTCGTTCCCACTAAGCAAGCAGATGTCAAAACAACGTAATTCCAACGTCATCTGGACGTTAATTCAAGGTTGCAATGTGGTACAGAACCGGTCGGGTCCGACGTCCTCTCGACGTCTTATATGACCAAAATATTGACGTTTATATGACGTCCATTTACAGTCCTATTGACCTCTGTAGAATGACTTAATAGTCGAGACATACTTTTTGCAATAGGCAAGGCAAGTTTATTTGTATAGCACAGTCAAAACAAAAGGAAACTCAAAGCACTGAACAAAAGATAGAAACAATCAAACAAGGCATTACAATTATAAATATTGACAGTAAATTAAAAAGATACAAATAAAATCTCTCAAAAAATCTCTCAGTTGAAGCAGAAACAGAAGTGTTTTAAACCTGGATTTTAACATTGTCAAAGAAGAAGCCTGTCTCACATTTCCAGGAAGACCGTTCCAGATTTTAGCCTTGTGAATCTGAAATGCAGCTATATCATGTTTAGTTCTGACTCTGGGCAATAAACGATAAACACAGCATTCAAAAATCATTAGAACAACTGTAGTAGAAGGATATCAGTCATTATTGCAAATGGAGCTGCATTAAAAATCATGTTTCTCTACATCAAAGTACAAGTTAATCCACACAGGACACAGTGTTATGAACACTACTGTACTGAACAGTTCATGCCAAAGTAAAAAAACATGATTGTAGCGCCTATGTTTGGATCAGTATTAAAACAGGCACAAGCTACACTCTAGGTTCCCCAGATGTAAAAACACAATCTGAAAGGCAGAAGAATGCATTTATTGAATGTTGATGTTCCAACATGTGTCCTCTCTTGGTCTTCAGTCTCTCATCACAAGGTCCAAGCACAGCACCTGGAAATGTGGAACATGTTTAGTTTCAACATAATGTGGCAAAGTGATATAACAACACATAACTTTCTATTAATGCCTCAAACCACTCGATCCGTCACCATGTGATACAAACCTTGGCACTGCACTAGCTCGAGACACTGGAAGACACTCCGTCTGAGAAACTTGGGATAAGGCTTTGGTCATTGGAGTAATTCCATGTAAAAAAACAATTGCAAATGTGCATTTGTTTTGCACATGGACACAAATGAGCCCTGAAAGCTACTTACCCTGTATTACTCTACACATGTCGCATTTCCGAGCGGGCATTTTCCCCTTGTTGCTCTTTTCCCTCATCATGAGTGAGTTGCAGAACAATCTGAGAAAAAGATAGATGTTTTCAAAGAGAATACACCAAATAATGGTTTATTCTAAAAACAACATATTAATACAGAACAACAATCAATGTGTGAGAGTGTGATTCTTACCTTTGAACACCTTCAACACAGTCTGACACCTGTAAGACTCAAACACACATGACACATTAGGAATACACATAGAACATTAGTTATTGCAACAATCATGAAATTATACTCTATGGATTTCACAAAAAATTGACTGCATTAGCCAAGGTAAATGTATTTTAATTATCATATGGCTGGTTTTAATGTTTATAAGAAAAAGTAAGAAATTGAATAGAGTTGCAAGCGCTAGTTAGCTTGCTACCAGCAGATGAATGGATATTTAATATTTGCAGCTAAAAATAACAAAAATAACGACTGTAGTGGCTCATTTGAACAGCCACAGTGAGAAGAAGTGAAAGTCTCTGACATTGAAGACCTGGGAAGACATTAAATCCATTTATTAAACAAAGCAATACATGAACATTAAACTCTCTTTCTGCAGCAGGTAACATCTGTGTGCTCCTATGGTCCCACATGGTCCCACACCTGAACTCAACTCCAACTGATGACATCACAGGTGTCTAAATGATGGGAGTGTCCCAAATATTAAAGCTGATCTCCCTGTTTTTAAACTTAGTTTACTAAGTACTGTTGTCTTTTTGCAGTTTATAAACCATTGTGAAATATACAGTAACTTTACATTTTAGAATTGAATTATTATTTTAAAACTCAAGAATCTTAACCTTTTTTAACACATAGTTTGTTGGACAGTCTAACCTAAGAATTCTAATGTGTTTAAAAATAGTTTGAAATATGAAAAAACAATATCATATTTTAAACTTTTACTTAAAAACAAAAAAATCATAGGAAAAAGATAACAGATAAGTAATTCCAGATTAAAAGAAGCCGTGCAGATTTGTACATTAGAATAAAAAATATTCAAAAGCAGCTGAGAACAGGTGGGTCTTTAACTCTGGATGAGTGTTTCAGCTGATCTGAGGCTTTCTGGGAGTTTGTTCCAGACATGTGGAGCATAGAAGCTGAATGCAGCTTCTCCGTGTCTGGTTCTGACTCTGGACTCGGATCCAGATGACATGAGGGGTTCTGGTTGGTTCATAAGTTATGAACAAGGCACTCAAACAACACTTTTGCACATGTTCGTTAAGGCACAGCAAACAGTGACAATCTTATCTAAAGGCATTAGGTTTTCACCCTCACATTTGAGAAGCATATGCACAGGTACAGTTGAATGTAAGAATTTGAATTTGTTGCGCACAACACCAATCACCCTCTCAACGTGAATTCTGAGATGGAAGGTCTAATCTGAGGCGCATTACAGTCAATAGGACAAGCTGGAAGGGTGAGAGCTTCCTCATCCTTCCTTGAGGCAGCTGCTGGGCCGGCGATGGGGCTGCTGGCTTGGGCTGGCGATGGAGGCTGCTGGGCTTGGGCTGGCGATGGAGGCTGCTGGGCTTGGGCTGGCGATGGAGGCTGCTGGGCTTGGGCTGGCGATGGAGGCTGCTGGGCTTGGGCTGGCGATGGAGGCTGCTGGGCTTGGGCTGGCGATGGAGGCTGCTGGGCTTGGGCTGGGAGTGATGACTGCTCCAGATGCTGGGTACTGCGCTTTACTTGCCGCTGATATCGCGCTCCATCTGTTTCTTTAACATTATTGTGGCCTAACCGCAAGGATGGTGTCCAGTCAGGGTGATTCTCCAACATCTCATATGATGGTTTACCTAGAACAGAATAATGTATGTAGTCAATGCTTTAAACTGGCAACAAGGTAGCATAATGTCATGAACAGAATCTCAACTATTTTTAGCAATCTCATATAATGGTTTACTTACATCAGATTAATAAGATTATTAAACAATCTGGAATCTAAAGAAATATTAAACAAGAAGGTAACGCTATTCATGGTTTCATAAAAGGGCTCAGGGGGTAGTGGAAACACAAGACAAAAAAAAAGTTTGGGCGTTCTCTGGCCCCGTGTGCTGCCCTCGGTCCCTTCTCTGGCCCCGTGTGCTGCCCTCGGTCGCTTCTCTGGCCCCGTGTGCTGCCCTCGGTCGCTTCTCTGGCCCCGTGTGCTGCCCGGTCGCTTCTCTGGCCCCGTGTGCTGCCCTCAATCCCTTCTCTGGCCCCGTGTGCTGCCCTCGGTCCCTTCTCTGGCCCCGTGTGCTGCCCTCGGTCGCTTCTCTGGCCCCGTGTGCTGCCCTCGGTCGCTTCTCTGGCCCCGTGTGCTGCCCTCGGTCCCTTCTCTGGCCCCGTGTGCTGCCCTCAGTCCCTTCTCTGGCCCCGTGTGCTGCCCTCGGTCGCTTCTCTGGCCCCGTGTGTTGCCCTCGGTCCCTTCTCTGGCCCCGTGTGCTGCCCTCGGCCCCTGTATCTCTTGTTCTCTGGTCCCGTGTGCTGCCCTCGGCCCCTGTATCTGCTGTTCTCTGGCCCCGTGTGCTGCCCTCGGCCCCTGTATCTGCTGTTCTCTGGCCCCGTGTGCTGCCCTCGGCCCCTGTATCTGCTGTTCTCTGGCCCCGTGTGCTGCCCTCGGCCCCTGTATCTCTTGTTCTATGGTCCCGTGTGCTGCCCTGGGTCCCTGTATCTCTTGTTCTCTGGCCCCTGTGTTGTGCACTTCAAGGCCCCTGTGATGTTCCGTGGCCCCCGTGTGTTGCACTATGGCCCCCCGTGTGATCTTCTGTAGGGCCCTTTGATAGCGCGCTCCCCCAGAGCAGAGCTGCAGCTGAGGGACCAACATCCCTGGAATGCTGCAAAGGAGTCCTGGAAATGTCCATCACAAAGACCCCCGCGGGACAAAGGGACCAAAAGCTTCTGTGGGGGACCGTGGGGGGACCGTGGGGGGAGCACAGGGACACTGCTGAGCGGAGGAAGTGTGTGTGGAGCCCAGGATTCTTATGCAGAGATGTTGGAGATGTTCCCGATGCCCACAATGCAAATACTAAAGAGAGAGGTTTGATTTTAGAAATGTTTGGAGAATTTGCAAAAACAGATCTCGATCCGTTTGGAAAATGTGGCAAAAACTTGTATCTATCCAGCGACAATCCTCAACATTTGTTATTTGTTGTTTTGTTATTGGCAGGACTCAAGGAGGGGTTAAATTGTAAGTGGCACAAACTAGAAACGCTCTCGTCAAGCGCAAACCTCCGCCAAGAGGGGCAGTACCATTCCTTGATTTCAGACGGTGGTTCGAGTCACTTCCAAAAACAAGAAGCTTTCGCTGCCTCTCGTCCAGGACTCCCTTGAAAAAGTTAATCTCAATGGATAATAATAATAATAATTTGGTTCCCTGTCTGGTTCTACTGAAGAGGCCAAGTTATGCCTCTATCTAACTGACAAACAAACAAACCAAATGAAAACATAACCTTTTTGTAGAAGTTAACCATTTTAAATTGACAATTGAAAAGAATGAGGTTCATACTGTTAGAATGACAAGCTTATGATGAACCAAAATGCTTCAAAAGTGTTTTAAGAGACACCAACATTCACATTTCTTAATTCACGGAGATAATTGTGTGCGTTGTTGCGTTGCCCACTGCGTACACTTTATACAAACACACATGCAAATATATACACATACAGAAATACATTTACAATTTCAATATGTATTTAAATGTGCAGTAAGTGATGTTGTTAGCTTAGCCGTAGCACCAACTCCAAACCACTCCCCCCTCCCCTCCCTCTCCACCAAACCACGCCCCCCCCCCTCCCTCTCCACCAAACCACCCCCCCCTCCCCTCCCTCTCTCCACCAAACCACTCCCCCCCTCCCCTCCCCCCCCTCCCCTCCCCTCCCTCTCCACCAAACCACTCCCCCCTCCCCTCCCTCTCCACCAAACCACTCCCCCCTCCCCTCCCTCTCCACCAAACCACTCCCCCCTCCCCTCCCTCTCCACCAAACCACTCCCCCCTCCCCTCCCTCTCCACCAAACCCCTCCCCCCTCCCCTCCCTCTCCATCAAACCAAACATCCAGCATTTTCTTTTCTTAATCACAGGGAGAGTGAAGCAAACGTGAAATTGGAATTTTCTGTTCAGCCATTTTATGTTTTAGAAAATCCGATAACTCCTGTGCACTCTGAGAAACAGGAAGAGGGTGAAGGCGGTAAACACATCCCATTGGTTTATTTTCATCGTTCCGCTACAAAATATTTCTCTTTAATTATTGCAGACTATAGACATCTGGTCAATTCCATTACTACTTGAAAAACAAATAACTTGATATTTTAAGGGTTTAAGGACGTTTTCCCACAATATTTAAAAAAATCACTGCCTGCATCTTTAAAAAAGGACCAAAAGCTTTCTGCCTAAAGCCAAGTCCCGCTCTCATCCCGCTTTATTATGCTAACGATTCAGATTTGGACTAAAAGTCATGGAGCTGTGACCGCGGTGATGACGGGGGACACGCTAATGGGTGAGGGGCCCCTGAGATCGTTAGACAGACCACAGCGGCTCTGCATCAGCGGCGAGAGACTGTGGCTAATCAGTTCAGCTAGCTGCTAATGGACGTGTTAACATGGCCAATAAACCACCGGGAAAACCAACAGACGATCAGAGACGATTACTGCGGCTGCACTCGGCTCCTGAGGTGATGTCACATGTCACCACAGTCTCCGCCGTCAGAACCAGAAGAACACGCACCACTCTCTGCAGCTTTACTGAGGGTGTGTCTGGGTCTCTGAGCTGATGGAGGACGGTCTAAGGACAGTTAGGATTCAGGACATTTTTAAACATTTAGCAACATTTTAACTCACCTCTCTCTTACCACTGGTCTCTCTCATCCCTCTCGTCCTTCTCGTCTCTCATCTCGCTCGCCTCTCTCGCTTTTCTCATTTCTCGCCTCTTTCGCATCTTGCTTCTCTCGTCTCTCTCTTACCTCTGGCCTCTCTCATCTCTCTCGCCTCTCTCGTCTCGCTCGTCTCTCTCATCTCTAAAGTCCCCCTCATCTCTCTCACCTCTCTCATCTCGCTCGCCTCTCTCGCTTTTCTCATTTCTCGCCTCTTTCGCATCTTGCCTCTCTCATCTCTCTTGCCTCTCTCGTCTTTCTCGCCTCTCTCATCTCTCTTGCCTCTCTCGTCTCTCTTGCCTCTCTCGTCTTTCTCGCCTCTCTCATCTCTCTTGCCTCTCTCGTCTTTCTCGCCTCTCTCATCTCTCTTGCCTCTCTCGTCTCTCTTGCCTCTCTCGTCTTTCTCGCCTCTCTCATCTCTCTTGCCTCTCTCGTCTTTCTCGCCTCTCTCATCTCTCTTGCCTCTCTCGTCTCTCTTGCCTCTCTCGTCTTTCTCGCCTCTCTCATCTCTCTTGCCTCTCTCGTCTTTCTCGCCTCTCTCATCTCTCTTGCCTCTCTCGTCTTTCTCGCCTCTCTCATCTCTCTTGCCTCTCTCGTCTCTCTCGCCTCTCTCATCTTTCTCGCCTCTCTCGTCTCTCTCGCCTCTCTCATCTCTCTCGCCTCTCTCATCTCTCTTGCCTCTCTCGTCTCTCTCGCCCTCTTACCTCTGGTCTCTCTCGTCTCTCTCACCGTGGTCATCTTGCTCTCTTCATACCATTGGTTCCTATGTGTTTGTTATTGTTACATTTATGTTGTTGCTGATCTGTTGTTGGAAAATCGACACCTTTTCTAAGTCCTGCGAGACGACTGCTGCGGTGATTAAGAGCTATGGGAAAATGAGTCCTGTCCTCACAGAAATCCATAAAAGCCTTGGTGACCTGCACCACCTACGTACAAAGATAATCAAGTTTGTCCACATATAAGCTGCACTTGAATATAAGCCGCAGGTTTTCATGTTAAATACAGCAGAGAGACGACTGTTTTAACTGGACACAACATGATTTAATGACAGTGTTTAACAGTTTCACCGTTTGCATTCATCTTCATCTGTTTTGATTATAAACAAGTGTCTTGTCGCTGCTAAAACAATGAGTCCATAAACATAAAAATACACATAATAGCTGCATCGCTATATAAGCCGCAGGGTTGAAAGAACTAGGAAAAAAGTAGCGGCTTAAATGACGGTAATAAACATTGAGTCTTGAGAAAGTACAAAGCTTTTCTCAGTGAGGTTTGTGTGTTTGGTTCATGAATATAAAGCTCAGGTCCGACCTTGCTTCTGCGTTACACCTTCAGCCCAAAGTAGAGCTGGAGTATAAGCCTCTGCGTGTTTGCTACGGGAAGTGAGTGGATAAATATTGACAGAGTACAGCGCACGCACTTCACCGACGCACGGCTCAGGACAAAGGCTGAGTGCTTAAGAGCCGCGTTAGAAGAACCTTCCTCATGTCTTCAGGAGCTGTTTTTCTCTGAGCTCCTCACAGTAGCCTCGGGCCAATCCTGCAGTAGTGTTCCCCCCGGTGCCCCCCGCCCCCCGCCGACACGGGCACGAGGGGGGGGCTGTGCGCGGTGCGTCACACTCCACACAGACAGCCGCACTGCCCGCCAACCGTCACAACGTATTAGTGCAGAGAAGTGTGCCCTGAGGCCGCGATCCAGCACCACAGACAAGGACTGTGTGTGTGTGTGTGTGTGTGTGTGCGTCTGTGGCTGTATCGGTGTGTGTGTGTGTGTGTGTGTGCGTGTCTGTGGCTGTGTGCGTGTCTGTGGCTGTATCTGTGTGTGTGTGTGCGTGTGTGAGTGCGTGTCTGTGGCTGTGTGTGTGTCTGTGGATGTATCTGTGTGTGTGTGTGTGTGTGTGTGTGTGTGTTTGCGTGTCTGTGTGTGTTGTGCATCTGAGTCTGTGTGTGTGAGTGTGCATGTACGTGTGACTGTGTGCGTTTGTGTGTTTGGAAAGAGGCTAATTGTCATCATCCAGATATGATTCAGCTTCTTCTTGACCTCTCGTCACCTCAGAGCAGATCGTAGATAAACAGTGTTCGCTCAAAGCTCCAGACTGTCCATAAAAAGACCTGATCCACGTTCTCCTTCACACCTGAGCACGAGGCGTTTGTGTGGGACAGAGTTCAGGGTCTGTCCCACCAGCTCTGGACTCACCCGCCTGGACTCACCCGCCTGGACTCCCATGGCCCCCTCAGCTCTGGCCCCTGTAGCTTGCCCTTGTATTGTCCATATTCATTAACTGAAATATTTATGCATGAATATGGCTCATATAGACACGGTTTGATTGATGTATCTCCAAAAACAAAAAGACATGCTCGGCCAATCTTAAGAAAAGTAGGGTTTGCCGCCCTCGGGGGAGGAGTCTCTCAGATGCATTATTCACATGCCCTCCAGGCAGGCTTTCAAGGCTCCTCTGCCCCGAGGGCCAGAAAAATAACCACCACTGTTAAAAGTAAATCATCGCGGCTGATACACAATTAATGCGCCCGAGGAGTGCCCTGCGTCGGAGGCTGTTCACTGGCAGCGGCGGAAGTCTCAGCTTAAAGAAGGCCTCCTGCTCGGGCCGGTCTGCACCCCGCCGAAATCAAAGACTGCTCGGCTAATGGGAGCAGCCCACAGCCCAGAGAGAGACCAGAGAAGCGGGAGAGAGACCAGAGAGAGACCAGAGAAGCGGGAGAGAGACCAGAGAGAGACCAGAGAAGTGAGAGAGAGACCAGAGAGAGACCAGAGAGATGAGAGACCAGAGAGGTGAGAGAGAGACCAGAAAAGTGAGAGACCAGAGAGAGTGGTGAGAGAGACGAGAGAGAGACCAGAGAGAGAGGTGAGAGAAGTGAGAGAAAGACCAGAGAGAGAGGTGAGAGAGACGAGAGACCAGAGAGAGAGGTGAGAGAAGTGAGAGAGAGAGGAGAGAGAGACAAGAGAGGTGAGAGAGAGACCAGAGAGAGACTAGAGAGAGACCAGAGAGAGACCAGAGAGAGACCAGAGAGGAGAGAGAGACTAGAGAGAGACCAGAGAGAGACCAGAGAGGAGAGAGAGACCAGAGAGGTGAGAGAGACCAG